TCTATATTTTTCACTTTTAAATTACAATTTTTTAAAATTGCTCTAAACTTGTTATTTGCAGATATCAAACTATTACCATTTATTATATGTGTACCAAGAAATTTTAAAGGTCCATTTATCAATTGTGTACGATATGGCCAACATTGTGATATATCTTTATCAATTATAGTATAAATATTAGTTAGTGAACTGCTTTCATCAGGTAAATCTTTAGGATAGTCTATTGTTGGATAAATCTCATTAGGACTTCTTGCAGGAACTCCTAAACCAAAATATTCTAGAGCAAAATATCTATATACTGTTATTATCATTCTTGGTGCAGTTGTACAAGCATAATATTCTGTAACCCTTAGCATTTGTAAGAAAATATATCGAACATATAAAGGATTAAATGGAAAATTAGATGGAAGTGGATTGCAATTAATATAATTTCTTATACCAGCAGGATGTATAGAAAGTCTTAGTACTACATTTTGATAAGCAACATGAATTACTTGATATATTACAAGTCCATGATTATGAACTATTATCTGATCTGTACTATTAATTGATTGAATTAATTGTTCTATAGAATTTAAAATCCTAAGTATATCTCTGTTACTAAAATGACCAATATCCCCATACCATCTTGTTTCAGGAGGTTGAGCATAACAATTGAAACTAATTAACATTAACCATAGAAATTTATAAAGCATTTTATTAGGTAGCTAGTTGAATTTATAAGGGAATTTATTTTATAGATTTATAAAAACTTTTATTATATAGCTTTTATCAACTTTGAAACTTCTGTTTAAACATCACCTTTTCTATAAAGTTATCGAATTTTATGCTTTTGAATTTAAATTTAGTACTTTTTTTTATCATCTATGATATTGTCTAAAATCAATTTTTCTTTGTATTTTATATACTTTAGTATTTGATATTTTAAATTAAAAAATCTTTATTTTTTCACTTTTAAGAATTTCATAGATATAATTAATGCTATATAGCTTTAGTAATATGTAAGAAAGAGAAACCTACTCCATATTGGTGCTAAGCAAGGACTCCAAACAACTATAATAAAAGGATAATCAATTTAATATTCCTAGTGACACTATGAGAGTAAGACATTTCATGTTAGATCCTCAAAAATATTATTTTTATTATATCAATCAGCATAAGATTTAGGCAATGAATAAATAATATTTAACCACTAATTGTATTAAAGCATGATAAATATATATTCTAACTATACGTTTCTGAAAGAAATTTAAAATTTAATATAAAATATTATAAAAAAAAATTATAGGTAAGATATAACTAGGAAAATAAGAACAAATCAATATGGAATACAACTAGAATATGGAGACATCCAAAATATGGAATAAAAAGAGATATTTAGAACTAAATATTAAAAAAAATTCTTAATCCAATAAATTAAACTATTTTGATTAAAAATACTATTGTTTCAATAGTATTTGTTTTTATCATCTACTATAAGTAAATGACCATCATATCTAAAATTGAAAATGAAAATAATTTACTGTATCTTGCATACAACAACCATTGATATGTTTAATTATAATCTGATTTTCCTTTAGTATTATTATGAATCATGTTCATAAATTTGTAATTGAAATAAAATCATCAAAGTTTTGCTAGAAGAGAAGTAACTTTTATACTACTTTTTAATAATTATATGTCAGAATGAATTTTCGTGAAATTTTAAAAATTACATTTAATTAATATTCTTATATAATACTTGGTAATGAACACTTATCAATTCTTGTATTTATCTTAAAATTATGTTAGATCAACTCTTAAATTCAGATATCTCAAGAGATGGCCCATAATAATATTTCTAATATTAGTATTAATTATCCTTTACAATGTTGGCCATATCATATGTACTTATTCAAGGTACACATATAATAAATTGTAATAACTTGATGTCCGCATATTATGTTTAGAACAACATCAAAAAATTTAATTAGATCTCGAAATTATAAAAAAGTATGAACTTATGTGGTCTATATCTTATGGACATAATACTTTTTGGTTTGCTGAATTAAATTTTGAGGATAAGTGCTTAAGGGTTTTGGAGTTAAGCATTTGGGTTTATATAGTATTAAAAAGTAAAATGCCTTTGTCAGTTAAATCTTTTGGGTATTCTAAACTAAAATAAATTTTATTAGGAAATCCTCTAGAAAAATGCAAAATATTATAAACATAAATTATTATATAATTTTATTATGACTTTTATATTGTTGTACATATATTATATTATGTAAGTCTTACCATTTGTATGAAAATATAGTGCACATATAAAGAGGATCAAATTTCAAATTTGATAAAAGAGAATTAAAATATAAATATTGTGTTACGACACTAAGGATGTATGCCATATCTAATTGCTATAACTTTATGAGAAAAATGTATTACTTTATATATTTTATATGAATTTAAAAAAAATCAATAATATTTATTGTTTAAATACAGATAAATGTATGCCATATCTAATTGCTATAACTTTATGAGAAAAATGTATTACTAAATATATTTTATATGAATTTAAAAAAAATCAATAATATTTATTGTTTAAATACAGATTTTAATGGCCTTTAGGAGTGAATTATGAGAAATATAATTTAAATTTAAAATAAATTGAAATTTGTAAGATAGATAGTGTTATATTTTATCTTATATGTACTAAAATTATTTATTTCTTTATATATTCCTTTAATTCAATGTTAAAAATTCAATGACATTTCTATATCACTATTTTGTGCTTATAAATGTAGGGAATTGAAGAGAACAATTTGAGATATAATCTATAGCGGTTCAAATATGGAAGGAGAATCCATGAATAAAGTGCACTTTCTTTTTCCAATGGGTTATTATGGTTAAGTGTCTTTGGTTTAATTAATACTTGGTTAAAAAGTTTAAATTTAACCGTTCATAATTCATATTAGAAATGTATTATGTCCGACTCTATTTGTTAGATAAAAGAATCACACTATATATTTATATTGACATTTAGTGGTTTAGTTGAGCTCAAAAAAGGTAGGGTGTCAAGAGAATAGAGTTCCTAAGAGAGTTACAGCACTTAACTTCCATTCACAAAAACATGGACTAAACATCCTTGTAAACAAAATTTAGTTCAAATTTAATTTCTTATAACAAGCTGAAGACTTTATACCCTAAAACACTTTACATGCTTGCTACAAAGTTTAATGACTAGTCTTGGTACACTCCCTCACTAAATGTTGAGAAAGAAGGTGAAGAATATTGGTCAAACCAAAGTGTTTGGGAGCGAAAAGAGTATGCATTGAGGCCCCTCAAGAATGTAAAGATCTAGATGGTAAAACAATGCATAACAATTGACCAAATATACTCCTTAACTTAGGAATGTAAAAAAGGTTAAATAATTTCATCCTAAAGGATAAATTGAACCAAATATTGAGAATGCTAGTAATGAGGAAGAATTTCAGCGATATACAGAAGTTTTGCTAATGTCACATATTGTTTTCAGAAAATACATAATTCTGTCAACATATTACTTAGCTTTGCAATAGTGAGCAGTACAAAATCTAAAAATAGCACATACATACATATCTAAACCAAGTATATACTTTTTAAAGGAAAATACATTATTCAGTCAACACACCACTTAATTTGCTATGGCAATATTGAGTGGTACAAAATCTAAAATAGTAAATACATACATATATAAAACAAGTTAAAATATTTCATATAAGCTTTGCTGATGTGATAGATATTTGTTTAAAGAAAATGCATCATTCAGTCAACACACCATTTAGATTTCCAGATAAAAAACTAAAAATGTCAATTTTACTTTCAGGAATAGAGCCTTAACATAATCTTGGCCAAAGTGATGTCAGTATGGAATCCCCATGAATTGTACGACAGATTAAGGGAAGTAAAAGATGATATGCTAATTGCTAATGAAAAACAAGGAGCATCAAGAACCACTTCCTTTTAAGCCAAAGCTTATAACAGGTCCTTTGAGGCAAGGTTTATAACAGATTACAATTGAAGCAAGAAAGAAAGAAATTATACCTATCTAGCTTGATGTTAATTAAAAGCTTATGGAGCCTTTTTTCCGTGTTTACCTTTCACTAAAGGATGTTGCAAATTTTGCACCTTGTTCACTTGTGCTTGGTGAGTTGCATTCCAGAGTAATTTAATCTTTGTTGTTCTTTTTGGTGAAAATTCTCATCAAATTGTTAAATCGTTTTTTTTTATGAGCTGCTTGCTTCTCAAGGTTGCAGATTGAGCGTGATTGGCTTTGCTTAACGAGAAATAATAGGGAGGAAAAGATGGCCATGGTCTGGCGATATCAGAATGACGAGGAGGAGCCGACCATTGGGGGCTTGGCAGCTACAACCTTTGGCACTGCATGATGAAATGGGGGGGATGGAACAAAACGGTGAAGAACAAGGCAAAATAGAAAAAACACGTCGCGTTTTTATTTGGTTCCTACTTTTCTTAAGAATATCCAAGTCGTGGATTCCCAACCAGGGATGGGGACTACATTCCCAAGCTCACGCATTTCTCTTCAATATTTAAGAGGTGGCGGAATTATACAAGCGCGCCGAAGCAGCATGGTGTTATCCTCGTAGGGGGTGATGACGTGGCTGATAATGCGGGGCAAATCGCGGGTAAGCGAGCATCGCTACAGCTCCAGCTCTTGCCAGTGAAGGGATCGCGCTTTTCTATTACATTTTTTTTTTCCAATTCCAAATGGTGTTTGGCTGTAAGCATCAAGCCTCACCTATTTGTTTCTGTATTTCCTATAGAATTTTGAGACAAACCAAAAGACGTTAGTTAAAAATCTTCGCGAATCTAGCAGAGTCTCCGAAGGGTATATCCCAGTCTTCTGTTAGAGGAGAGGCATGCATGCAACCTGGCGCTCCCAGAGCAACTATATAAGATGGGACGAGAAGTGAGCGTCTCACAGTCTCTCTTGATCGTTCTCTCTTCTCGATTTGTATCCAAGAATGTCTAGGAAGGTTGCCATCGCCCTCTTGTTCTCGGCCTTCTTTGGATTGGCTGCCGCCAGTGGCTACCGCCAGGACGATCACGAGGATGCTCGTCATGGTAAGCACGGTTCGGATCGATCAAAGGGCGATCGCGATGCCCCCCGCCGCGTCTCGAAGATGCTCGACAGCTACAATCTCCCCCAGGGGATGTTCCCTCTGCCGCTGGTGACCGATTTCTCGCTGGACGAGGAGGATGGATCGTTCGAGATGCGGCTGAGCCGGTCGTGCTATGCGAAGCTCGAGGAGGAGCTGCTGTGGTATGGCGAGGAGATCAAGGGAAAGGTGAGGTCCAGCAGGATCGAGGATCTCTCGGGCGTCCAGGCGAGGGAATTGCTCGTGTGGCTGGCCGTGAAAGGGCTCCATGTCGATGATCCAGAGACTGGGTTTGTCTACCTTGAGATTGGGCTCACGTACAGCCGCCTCTCCGCCCAGTCCTTCCAGGAGCCACCGCCATGCTCGGACGAAGCCAGTTCCTCCTTCATTAGATAGGTAGAAATATAAATTTGTGAAAGATTAAATAAAAAATGTTTTTAAAGGTTTAAAGTAAATTGAAGGGCTAATTTAATGAGAATATTACGGTCAACCAAATGGTCAAAAAGAGGCAACGACTTTTGACCACTGGTCAAGGTTCATGTGGCTGTAGTTTAGTGGTGAGAATTCCACGTTGTGGCCGTGGAGACCTGGGCTCGAATCCCAGCAGCCACATTCGAACGTTCTTTACTTTGATTTTCCATTTCTCTTCATATAAAATCTACCAGCCGTTGGATTAAATATAGAATATACTCGACGAATCACACAATTAGGGCTGGGCTCTCGGGAAAGATGAAGAAAGGGGGGCAGCAAGAGCGCAAGGATCTCTACACGGTTCTAGGTCTCCAGGGAGGCTTGGACGGCGGCGCCTACGCATCCTCGGCACAGATCCGCAGCGCCTACCGGGCGCAATCGCTGCGCTGCCACCCGGACAAGCGCCTGGACGATCAGGCGACCGCGGCTAGGGATTTCCAGGCCCTCCAGGACGCCTATAAGGTACTCTGTGACGACAGCAAGCGCGAGCGCTATGACTGTGAGTTGTATTCCAGCATCCTCAAAGGCCCGCAGATCCAACCCCCGCCCAAGCGCAAGAAGAAGAAATCCCAGGTCTCGGGCCTCAATCTCGTCATCAAGAAGCCCACTAGCAAACCATCGGGGGCATCCTCGTCCGTGGCCAAGGCCGCCGCGATCTCTCTCGATGAGCTCGCCCGGATCAAGGTCGCCAGCGGCGTGAGCGGCGAGGCCTGCGAGAGAACAGTGTGCGCGAGCTGGAATTGCAGCGCCGGATACGACGAGGCCAAGCTCCGCGAGGCTCTGGGATTGTTTGGGCCGATTGAGAAGATCGTAGCGCCAGCGAAGAATTGCAAGAAGGGAACTGGCGCGATTGTGTTTAAGTTCCGGGCATCCGCCTCTGGCGCTGTCGCGGGATTTAGCAACGATCCCGAGCTTAAGTTACAAATGGGAGGATAGCGTTCTCAAGAACCCTAAATTCTTTTCTCTTCGTCTTTCTCAAGAACCCTAAAACTTGTTTTAGATCTAGAGCTAGAGCGATGGTGGGCGGGATGGAGTTCAAGCCCAACAAGCACCTCGAGGAGTGGCTCTACATGAGGGAGAACCAGGCGGAGCACTTCCGGTTTAACAAGCAGACCACCAAGACGGCTGTGATTTGGGGGCTGATCGTCCCCTTTCTCGCCTATCGTTTCATCGTCAGTGAATTTGTAAGTCGCCCAAGAGAAATCTCGAGAGCATGATTGATCTCCTTTGAGCAGCACGCGCAGGATGTGAAAGCCGGACGACCGCGGCGTGAATTCTTGTAAGAAAAATCCTCCAAACTTCATAGCTGACAGATCTTCCATTTTTTCGTGCTAGGGGCGCCAAGGGGGACTACAAGTGAAGAGGAAAAATCAGTTATTTCTTCCTTTCAATCGCTGGAAACTTTCTTCTCGCGAGAGATCAAGGAGACAAAAAGAAGAAACTTTGGAGACATGGAATAAAAAGATTTCGCTTTGGAATTGAATGAAACTCCCTGGAAAAGAGAATACGTAGAGCACAGAACCAAGCTCATAGTTTACACTGACCGACGGTGTTCTTGCCTGTTCCTGGTGTGATTTTTCTTTCGCGACTCGCTCACTGAGTAAGATCCATGATCGCGCTCACGATGTCTCCGTCTGTGGCCTTCAAAGCCTTGACAGCCTTGCTGCGAGGCACTCCAGCCTGAGTCATGACCAGCTCGATGTCCTTGGGCTCCACGCCCGTCTCGTCCACCTCTTCCTCCTCCTCGGCCTCGCCTCCAGCGCCCTCGGCCTTGTTTGGAGGCACACGGCCCATGTCCGGTGCCTTGAATTGCTCCGCCGCTTGGGTCTGGAGCTGGGAACTCAAGTCCTCGATCTTGGCCTCGCCAAAGATGATGTGAGTGTCGGATGCCGGGCTCTTGAACACGTCGGGCTTGGAGATCACAAACAGTATCTGGAAAGAACCAGAAGCGAAGTTAGTCTCTATTCTCTTCGATCTACCAACGCAAGCTTACGTTTTTGCTCTTCTTGATCGTCACCCTCGTTACTCCAGTCACGGGCTTCATCCCGAGCTTCTGCATTGCCTTCCGGCTCTTCTTCTCGCTCCGGCTTTGCTTCGATTTCCCCGTTCCATCCTCGCCTGGAAGAAACATAAAGAAAGTAGGAACACCACAAAATTTTCCAGTGGAAGTACCTTCACCGTGCATCTCGTCCTCTCCCGCATCGTCCTCATCATCGTCGTCATCGTCGTCATCGTCCGCGACATCGTCCTCGATTATCGGCTCATCGCCCTGGGGCAAGCAAGAATCGCGAGAAATAGAGCCAAATCTCTCGCCCTCCGCGGCGCTACGAGAAAAATCTTACCTCGGCGAGCTTCTGCTGCTTGAGCTCTTCGGCGAGGTGCTCGGCCACAGTCTGTGCAGTCATGGCGCCCCCACAACTCCTTTCTCGCGAAGAACCCTAGACGGCGGCTTTAGGGCTCATCCACTGGGCGAGAGATATGGTAATTTTTCGAAAGATAGAATGGGGGTTCAGGGCTTAGGGTTTTGGCGATGGCGATCTCGCCCGCCTCGCTATCCGCCCGTCGCCTCGTCTCCTACGTGCGATTGAAGCAGCGGCGGTCGCAGGGCGCCAGAGCCGCGCGCCAGGCGCTCAAGCGCGAATCCATCGCCAAGGGCGCACCAGGTCTCATTGGAATCCAGGAGAAGTACAGCCTTCGTGATCCGCGGCTGGTGTGGTACAAGGACGAGAACAGGAAGCCGTTCTATAGGAACACGAAGGAGCACGGGCGATGGCGGCATTTGGCGTATCCCCAGGAGGAATTGGAGGATCAAGTCAAGACGGAGGACGTGCATTGGCTCACTGGGCTCGGAGCTCTCGATCGAGTGAGGGTTGTGCTCGTTGGATCACAGTCAGCTGGGAATGTGGGATCGGTGTGCCGCATTGCTTCGAATTTCGGTGAGAGAGCTTGCAAAAAGAATTTTTTATTTTTTCTTCTGTTCTCTTCTCACTTTGGTCTCTAACAGAGTGTAGACAAGTATGGCTGGTACGTGTGTTCGCTGCTGCTAGACTTGAGATTTTTCTTCATGGTTTTCGTTTTCTTTGGCCAGGTGAGTCCAGAGTGTGATTACTTCTCGGACGAAGCTCGTCAAATGGCTGTCAATCCTGTCGCGAAGTCCCTGCTGGAAGATGTCAACGTTGTCAAGACTATCCCAGAGGCTGTTGGCGAATGCCTTATGGTGAGTCGAGTGCTCCAGTGTGTTGTTTTCTTCTTCTCCATTTCTAATGACCCACCAGGAACGAACTTGGTTTCGTGTAGGCCATCGGCTTCACCCGGCGTGACGGACGTGACAGAGTTGTAAACGAAGTGCCGTATCCTAAGCTCTGCATTCCAGCAAAGGGTCAAGCCATTGCGGTATACACTAGAACTTTCATACAGTGTTTTGACATGGCTCTTCCCTGCAGCTAGTCTTTGGACGGGAGGACGACGGCTTGACAAACGAGGAGCTGTTATATTGCACTCACACTTGCCGCATCCCAACTACCAAATGGGAGGGGTCGCTAAGTAAGAATCAGACAGAAACTTCGTTTTGTAACTAGAGAAAAGTTTGTTCTTTCTTTTCGCAGATGTGAGTCACGCCGTGGCGCTTGCTCTCTCAAAAATGTTTAGTTCATACGAGAGGCTTCGTCGTGTACACAAGGAGCCGGGGCCCGAGTACAATGAGTTTCTTCCACCGCCAGGTACTTATTTCCCATCAAACTTTCTTAGTTGCGATTCTTTTTCCTGGTGTAAACATCAAACAGGGACTGCTCCTCTTCGTGAGGTAGATTTGCTACTAAGGCGATGGAGATCAGTGGTGAAGAACTGCAACGTTGCTGCGTCGTTGGTGTCAAAGCCCGAGTTCACGACGCGCCACCGTCTGCAACAACACCTCAAACGGATCTTTCACAGGGCACGGCTGGCACAGCGAGAAGTGAACATCATCCACGGCTTCCTGACGCTGGTGGATGGAAACGCGCACACCGTAGGGGACCTCTTCTCGGACCTGCAGGAGAAAATGTCCGAGGGAGAGTCCGAGGAGGACTACGAGGAGTTTCTCAAGAAGGCCGAGGAGTGCAACAAGAAGCTGGAAGAAGAGAGGGGCTGGGACGAGTACGATTACTCTGAAACCGACGAAGAGGAGAAGCGGGCCATACAGGCGGAGCTTGAAAGCTACTAAAGTCTTGCTGTGTCGTCCCATCTTTTTTATTGCGAAGACAAACTCGAAAGATAGATTGTCTAGATTGACTCACCTCGATCTTAGCGGATCATCTCAAGCACGATGGGTGATCTCGAGGCCAAGGCAGTGGTGACGCTGTGGGTCGTTTGCCCTCCTCCAATCATTTCCAGCAATCATAATCTTCTCGGTTAAGCTCGACCATGACTTGCAATGAAAACAGTATGATTTTGATATCAATAGTTCCTGTACCACCAATCTCCCATTTAGCATCCATGACCATGATGCGGGCTTGCGATCGGATGGCTGCGAGCCTCTACTTCTTATATATAGATAAATATGTAAATATTTGAGCGACACATCCATTCACCTCAAGCTTTGTAATTTACGAGTCTGGATCATCGCTCAGATACGCGTGCATTCCATCGAAGAATGGCCAGTTTTTGTTGGAGCTTCCATCATCCTCGATTATGTTCTGCAATTCTCACAAGCTTAGCCTACTCGAAAGAAAATGGAACATTAGAAACGTACCCTGTAGCGTTTCACCAGAGTCGACCACATTGCCTTGCATTGGCCGTGGGTGTGCTCGTAGCCATGCTCAGCAAGCTTGGATGCTATCTCCTTCCAGAGAGGGGTCTTGAGTTTAGCTTCTCTGAATTTGTCGTCCATGCCTGTTCGTAGCCGGATCAACACCTGGGTGGCCTCCGGTTTCCATCTGCTTTTCCCTGCGGCTGCCAAGTCTGCTTCCTTCTCGGCTATGGAAAGTACTTCGTTCTTCTCTTGTTTTCTTTCTTCCACTTTGGTGGCTGGTGCTGGTGCTGGTGCTGGTGTTTTATCAGCATCGTCAACTGTTACTACGAGCTGTAGCTTCTTCTCTTCTTCTATCCTAGCCGCCTTTTGGGTCCTCGCGTTTTTCATTTCTCTCAACACCTTCTCAGCGATTGCCTTTCTCACTCGTTCTTCTTCTGTTTCTGTTTCCTCCACCTTCGGAAGTTTGATGACGGGTTCGGCGTCTTCAGTTTTATCAATTTTCTCTGCAGAATCCGGACAGCATCAGAAAACTAAGCAAGTTAAAAACAGATTCTATACCCATGAACTTGTTAAATTCTGGTGTGAGCACCGACAGCCGTCGCTCGTTGTCCTTTTCCGCGTGCTGCTGCTGCCTCTTCTCTTTCTCGTAGACTCTGGTATTTACAGCATTTGTCCTCACCAGCACCTTAAGTTGAGCCGCAGCATCCACGACCAGCCTCTTCTGGATGAGCTTGTCTTTTGGAGCAACGGCTCTCTCTGTAGCTATAGCGACGACCTCTGGCCTTTTGTTGTTGTACTTTTGTGCTACCTTCCGGAGCACTGTGGCAACTGTTCGCTCCACAGTCTGAAGATCAGCATCTTGCTTGCAGCTTCCAACGGCTGCATTAGCTGCCCTGTGAAGTGCTTCCGTAAGTTTTCCCTGATCCAGCCAAAGACACCGAGTGGTGATCCTGATACGAGCGCGTAGTCCATATTCCGAACCATCTAGCCGAGATGCATAATTATCATCGTCTTCAAGAAGGGCATCACGTATCACCTCAATACTAAAACAAACGAGTCAACAAGGTTCGACAGCTCAAGGACAACAAACTTCGTACCTTACTATTATAATTCCATCGAAGGCTATGTGTTTTCTTTCGTCCACGCGAAGATCTGATGCAGTTCCAAATGCTTTTTCCCCATCATTATACATCAGCTGTTTCACAAAATTTGAGACGTGAGCATGAATCGAGGTGAGAATCCCTCTTACCTGTAAATCCTCCTTTCCAAGGGCAGCAAACCCACTAGAGAGGACCCGTCTGTTCCGTAAAGGCGAGACTCCGAGCATCTCACCATTTCTTATAACCTGCCAGCTTAAATCTTAGCAGAGAGCTTCAAAAGTAAGGTTATAACATACTTTTGTGTGCTGAATACCGGAAGCCCTGCCAAGCTGCTCGTGCTCTTTTAAGAAAGTATACTCACCATGGACCGGCAGAAAATGCTGCGGCCGAATGAGTCTTAGCAGTTCTTGCTGTCATGCACAATCCGACCTTTAAAAATCCACTTTAAAGTGATTAGTGCGTACCAATTCATCGCGATAGGCATGTCCGGAAGTATGTAGAAGCTTGTCTTTTCCAGTGATGATATGCGGACCAGTTTCAGATATCCTGTTCAGCATCTTCATCACTCTCGTTTCATTGCCAGGTATCATCTGCAAAACGTTCATGTAACAATTACAGAAGTTTAAGCTCACGAACATACCTTTGCCGAATACAGGATAACGTCATCTTTGGACAACTTTAAACTGCGGCTGCTTCCAAATGATGCAAGATTTAGAGCCGACCGTGTCTCGCCCTGCAAACAGTCCTTCAAACTTAGAATCTATAACATATTAAGCGAACCTGAGATCCTGTCGTGACTATAAGAAGATCTTTTGGTGAATACGCGCCCATATCTTCAGCTTTTACCTGGTAAACAGCCACACAACCAAATTAGATTTTACACAGATGCACCCTTACCAGAATCGAAGGATCAAATGGTGCCTGTCCATCCTTCCATGCTGCATCAATATACGTTTTTAAGGCAGTTCCAATGAAAACCTGTGTAATGTTAAGTTCTAGAAACAAAAAACAACAGCTAATTATAACTCACTAGTTTACGTCCAGAAGCATCTGCAGCAGCTTTCATACTCCCAAGTCGATGAATGTTGGAAGCAAATTGTGTTGATATAACCCGAGATTTTGCCTCCGTGACATACTGCATCAACGACTTTCGAACATCTGTCTCGCTTATTGTCCGCCCTGGCGACAAGACGTTCGTAGAGTCGCTCATCATCTGGACATACATTTCATAAATGCTGCCAAAATTTCAACTCAGCAATTACCAGAGTGACTCCTTCCTTGCCTAGTTCCTCAAGTGTATTCCGATCAAATATCTTACCATCAAGCGGATTTTCATCGATCTGCGAATAGAAACAATCCTTTAGTGAAGTGTGATCAAGACAGCCAGAACAGACCTTCCAGTCTCCGGAATGAAAGATGGTTCCATCTTGACAACGAAGTATCAAGCCACAACAATCCGGTATCGAGTGAGTCACACGAATAGCTTCGGCCTTGAAAGGACCCGCTTGAAAGGGATTTCGCATCGTAAATGTATGGCATCGATGCTCAAATGGGAAGTTGTAGTCTTTCAATCTCCTTTTGATAAGCTACACATCAAATGTGCAAGACTGAAGCTTTGCAGTAGTAACGTGTTAGTTGCTCACCTCGAGTGTGAAACTTGTAGAGTAAATGCGTGTCTGAGGATCAAGAGCGGGAATAACCTGAGATGTAACAAGTCAGCAACCAAAAGAAAAGGAAATAGAAAGAGAAACAGCAAACCAAATGGTTATATTACCCAAGGCAATGCACCGATGTGATCCTCGTGCCCATGCGTAATAATCACAGCTTCAATCTTGTGCTTCCAGCGAGAAATGAACGTCGTGTCGGGAAGAACTTTCACCACCCCGAAATCCTCATAACTGCTTGCAGGAAGACAGCATGCCTGTAAGTAAAGCACCAAACGCATTCAACAAGCAGAAACAGGAGTAACAAAAGGTGTCGAGACTGCTTACTCGGGAAACATAAGTCCAGCATCGATCATGATATAGCGATCATAGTGCCCGACGAGCATGCAGTTCATTCCAATCTCTCCGAGGCCTCCAATCGGAAGAATGCGAAGAGGCGGTCCATTCCTTCCCTCGTAAAACTTTCGCATTGTTCGCTGGACCGCGTCGTCTTTGCTGTGCCCGGCTCCTTCTAGAATACCATATCGGCTTTGTTGTGAATCTGCCAAAGGAAGCTCTACATCAGCATCACAAGCAAAGAAAATCACAGAAGTCTAAGAATTCCTCCTCTTTGGCATGATAAACACGACTACCAAGAAAAGCAAGATAAAAACCGAACATCCTTTGTTCACAAAGAAAGAAAATCTGATGGAAACAAAAGAAAATCCGATGGAAACCAGGAATGCACACTTCCGAAGAAAAAGAGCGAAAGAAGAAATACCATACCTCGCGATTGGAATGCCACATTCCTGGTAGCGTTGGGATTGAAATAGCAGCGACAGGAGAGCCTTCGAGGAGGAGGAGAAATCCTCCAGCTCCTATCAAGCACTCCAGAATGTAGCATCCAGCTCTTGGTCGCGAGGAGCCCGGGCTCCTCGCCACTCGTAGCGGCCAGCATTGGCGGAGCCCTAGAAAGGATAGATATTTTCGTGGGGTTAGGGGTTTAGATTAGGGCTTCTATGGAGGAGAAGAGAGCGGCTTCCACCGCGAAGGCGGAGAACGAGATCGACGCCATTTTCGCAGAGAAATCGAGCGCCAAGAAGAGGAAGAAGCCAGCGGTTGAGCAAGAACAGCAGCCCAAGGCCAGGAAAAGGGTAAAGAAGAAGAAGAAGAATGCCGCGAAGAATCAGGAAGAAAAGAGGAAGAAAACGCAGGAGGGATTCAGTGTCTACACCGAAGAGGAGCTGGGGTGCAACAAGAAGGACGCCGGTGGCACCGCGCTCTGCCCATTCGATTGCGATTGCTGCTTCTGAGCGAAGAACCCTAATTTCCCCGAGAAGAGAATATTTCTCTAGGGTTCTATAGAATATCCTGTATCTTTTTTCTCTTGTTTTGAATTGAGAGCTATCGCTATGGCGCCGAGAACTCCACGCCGCGTTTGCGATGTTGATTTCTCCAGGAAGGCGCACGAGCAGCAGCCCCCGCTCCACAATCGCTGGCATCCGGACATCCCTCACATTGCCGAGGTCCAGGAGAACGAGATCTTCACTGTGGAGATGATGGATTGCGCGGGTGGAGCGATCCGCAACGACGATTCTGTGGCGGATATAGAGGCTCTGGATCTATCAGGGGTAAGACTAGCTCATATTTCGCATTCTTTCTTGGATTGGATGGATGCTAGGGGCACTATCTGAGCGGTCCTGTGCGCGTTGTGGATGAATCGGGCGCTCCAGCGATGCCCGGCGACATCTTGATGGTGGAGATATGCGATCTGGGGCCGATTTCTGGGCAGGAATGGGGCTTCACTGCGATCTTACCTGGGTTTGGATTTCTAAGCGATCGCTTTCCAAATGCGACCAAGGCGATCTGGGATTTCGAAGGGATCTTTGCATCGTCGAGACACATCCCAGGCAAGAACGATGAATTCTTCTATTCTCTCATCCTTCTTTTTCTTTTGCAGGCGTTCGTTTCCCAGGAATGGTACATCCTGGACTAATTGGCACAGCTCCATCTAAAGAACTTTTGGAAGCTTGGAACGCTCGAGAGAAAGCTCTGGTCGACACTTCTTCTTCACCACTAGTAGCAGCACTTCCAACAAAACGAAATGTTCTACTTGGCACGGTACCACACTTTTGTCCTCTATTTCATTGATTTTTTGTCGATGAAAACTTCGTCACAGATCGAAGAAGGCAGCCCGGATTGGGAAAGAATTGCCTCCGAAGCCGCAAGAACAGTCCCCGGCCGAGAAAACGGTGGAAACCTCGACATTAAAAACCTCTCCAGGGGATGCAAAGTCTACTTCCCCGTGTTCGTGGAGGGTGCTAATCTCAGCATGGGAGACATGCACTTCTCCCAGGGTGACGGCGAGATTGCTTTCTGTGGAGGGATCGAGATGAACGGATTTCTCACGTTAAGGTACCATTCCGCGCTTGATCTTAGAGACGAGCTTAAAGTTCTTTGCTTGTTTACAAAAGATGCGAGATTTTGCGTGGTGGAATGAAAGACTACATGAGCCCAACGAATCTACACGCGCAACCATTCTTCGAGATCGGGCCTATCGAGCCTCGTTTCTCCGACTGGCTGGTTTTCGAAGGAATCAGCGTGGATGAACACGGACGACAGCACTACCTCGACACGACCTTGTCTTTCAAGCGAGCAGTCCTCAATGCCATCGAGTACCTCTCGAAGTTTGGATACACAAGAGAGCAGGCAAGTAACAGCTCCACACTGGTTTTAAGCTCAACTTTCTTCCTTCGTTCTCGACTGCCAGATCTACCTCCTTCTGTCATGCTGCCCTTGCGAGAGCAGGATCTCGAGCATCGTCGACTTTCCAAATGCTGTGGCTACCATCGCAATTCCCACAGCAATCTTCGATCAGGCTAGTCATGATCTTATGAGTCCATTCCTATGGCTTCTAATCTTTCATCTCTTTTGTTTTCAGGATATAAAACCAAAGAAGAAAAGATGATTCTGAGAGAGTGCGAATCTAATATAGGCTCCCTGGTTATGGTAACTATATAACTTGCAGTCTAGTTGCTCAAGATTGGGCCTGTGGGGCCTCGTTTCTCCGACTGACTAGTTCTCGAATGAATCACAGCGTCGTGGATGAACATAGACAACAGCGCTACTTCGACGAGACGTTGTGCTTCAAGCAAGCAGTCATCGAGTACCTCTCAAAGTTGGATACACGCGAGATCAGGCAATTAAAAGCTTTCACGCTGGTTTTAAGCTCAAGTTTCTTCCTCCTTTCTTGATTGCCAAATCTGCTCTCGCAAAGGAAGAAAGGCAAGAGAAGAGGATCTCGTCGACTTTCCAAATGCTGTGGCTGCCATCGCAATTCCCACGGCAATCTTCGACCAGGCTACTCATGATCTTAAAAGTTCTTTCATCTCTTTTGTTTGCAGGATATAAGAAAAGACATATGCGAATCTCGACCGGATCTCCGGCCGTCCACGTGTCATCACTATATCAATACCTTTAGGGCAATCCAAAAAGTGTTTTCATTTTAGGGCGCGAGCAGAGAGAGCGAGCGGAAGAGGGCGATGGAGGAGATAGAGGTAGTGTGTGGAAATCGAGGGCTGAGGAAGACATCGCGAGCTGTGAGGAGGTCCCAAAGGTGTGTGCCCACCTCCATCTGTGGTGCTACTGGCACCGCCGCCTTCCACTCCCCCCCGGCCTCTGCGCCGCCCACCAATTCTTCTGGGGACAGGAGACAACGGCGTAGACAGCACAGATTGAGTCGCGTCTTTCATGCTCGTTTGTGCGCTTAGAGAGGAATTTTTCTTTCTTTCTTCTACGTTATAGGTTCTTAGGGATTTCTGGCGATCAAGACGACGAGATGGGGAAGAGTGAGTGGTCTTTTCGTGTTGGGTGTGTGTTTTCTCTTACGCTGGTTTTCTTTTTTCTCTCGATTTTGCAGGCAGGAATCGCAAGGGTGGTGTAAAGTTCGTGGACGACTCGGATGACGATACGTTTAGTAGCACCTCGTCGATGGGAGCATCGGGGTCTTCGGAGCCGACGATGGCTCAGGAGGCGGAGAAGGAGGTGGACGAGGACAGTGTTTTAGATGATTATGTCGATTCTTTATACGAGAAGAGGTACTCATTGTTTTTCTTTTTTGCTCCTGTTCTCACTTGGACTAAGTATGCACTTTTAGATCAAGCACCCGAGAGGCAGGCTTGAAGGGGCTGCTCAACTCATTTAGTACAAGAGTCATGACGGACTATGTTGAAAATAAGTACGTGCGCGGGTCTTTTTCTTGTGATACTTCCTTCTCTAACGTCGTACAAAAACAATTCTAGGTACGCGACGCTCGCACATCAGTTCCTGTCCTCCGTGAGGCGTGGATCATCTGCTGAGATTGTTCTTGCGAGTCGTGCTCTAGGTACTTCTATTTTATTGTGACACATGAGTGTCTGATTTGTTTCATCGTCTTCGTAGGGATGCTTTCCATAACCGCTGGGGCCGGGGAGGTGTCGGAGCACGTCTTTAAGGAGTCACTTCCCCACCTCGCAAGGCTTTCGAAACTCGGCTCCACGCCAGCAGCAAGAGTTTCGGTACTGATGTCCTTTGCATTGATGATTGTGTCCTGAGCAACTTGATCTTGTCCAGGCCATTGAAGCGCTTGCGATTTTGGCATTTATTGGAGGCGTGGACGTCGCGTCGACGGAAACCGCAATGGAAACTTTCTGGCAGATCCTTTCTCACAAAGGAACCGTTCACGCAGATCAGGTAGCACACGTTAAAAGCACACGTACTGGTGGACTAACTTTGGCTTCTACAGACACTTGGCACAAATAAACCAACGCCGCAAGTAAAGGCGGCGGCTATTTCCGCTTGGACGTTGCTTCTTACAACGTTGAGTTCGGACAAGATCGCGCTTCAGCTATCCTCGTTCGTGTTTATTTCTATTTGGTTTTTACGAGTCGATTATTTTACAGGAACGGCTCGGTTCTTTCTTCGTTATTGGACGTTCAAGATTTGGGAGTCCGCAAGGCTACCGGAGAGGCTGTTGCTCTTCTCTGCGAGATCGGGAATGATCTCGACAGCATGGGAATGACTGAAATGCAAGTTGTGGAGCAAATGAAAGCGCTTGCGATCGATTCTAGCAGGCAGCAGGGTCAGACAAAGAAAGAAAGGTCCGAACAAAGGAGCACCTTCAGGGAAATGCTGGCAACGATTGAAGAAGGCGTGTGCCCCGAGACATCTATAAAGTTCAAACATGGTGATGCTCTCAAGGTCAATACGTGGACCCAAACTGTTCAGGTAATGGTATTTCAGTTCTTTTTTTTTGGTGGTTTATTGTTTCTTTATAGCTAAATGCTTTTCGACGATTCCTTGCGGAGGGTTTCCAAAAGCATATGCAGGTACGTAAAACCACGCTTTTTTGTTTGTCCTTCTTTTTTTTTCTGAAATGCTTCTCAACAGGAGAACGGCCTTCTGCACGAGATCTTTGATTTTGTTCCTCGGGGTGCAAAAGAGCGTACGCAAGGCGCTAAACAGAAAGTAAGTTCGTTTATCTTGTTTTTCTTCTATGATGGTGATGTTCTTTTACAGAAACAACACATGTCCGTGGCAGATAAGATGCGAACGCAGCAAATGAACCGGAAGAGGTCAATGGCGGAGGTAAATTGATTGTCTTTCTAGCACAAACTAATCTATCTCTTGGTGATACAGGCTGGTCGAAGATTTATTAACGACGATAGTGATTAAAATTCACAACTGTGACTAAAGTGTGAAATAATACAACAGCTATATTTTCACGCGGTTTGTAAGTACTATAGGTAGTTGTGTTGGAATTACTTTTTCTTTGCATTGGTCACTTAGAGACGTGCGAAGACTCTGCGGCCGGCAGGAAAGGGTATATATTTGAGATTTGGGACTGTTCGAAGACTCGAGCAAGAGATGGGTTGTTTGGGAATCAATCTCATCAAATTCAGGCTCCAGCAGGGAAGAAAACTCATGAGGAGGTGTGGGCTGCAGCAAAAGCAAGTGAAGATAGAAGCTGGCAACACTACCTTGGATTGCTGGGTTCCTTCAGCAGCAAAAGAGGGGAGGCCTGCACTACTCTTGCTCCATGGCTTTGTTTTCAACGCACTCCTCGAGTGGGAAAACCAGCTGCTGGCTTTCACGGAGAAGTTCAACGTCTACGTCCCGAACTTACTCTTCTTTGGGGAATCTACGACCGAGTCGGGCGAAAGAAGCGAGATTTTCCAAGCCCAGTGTATGAAGCTGATGCTGGACGAGCTCCAAGTTCTGGACAGGGTTCACGCTCTCGGGACGAGCTACGGAGGAATGGTGGCGTTCTGGATGGCGCATCTGTACCCAGAGAGGATCGCTAGAGTGGTGCTGGCGAGCTCCGGGGTTGCGATGGATCACGGTGACTCGCAGCGAATGTTGGAGAGATTTGGAGGTGGCGTCGCTCATCCGGCCGATGTCTTGATGCCGAGAAGCGTTCAAGTTGCTCGCAAGACTATGGAGTTTGCAACTCAGAAGAAGCTGGCTCTTGTTCCAGACTGCCTGGTGGAAGATATCATAGAAGAGGTAACAAACACTGGCTCGGTCGGGGAAGTTCTCATGAGATTTTGTGTGGACAGGTTCTCTGCTACAATCGGGAGCACCGGCTTGAGCTGCTGGATGGCATGGCGATTGGATCGGTCGAAAACCCACCAGTGGTTCCTCAACTCGTTCAGGTTGGAAGCGAAAGAGAAGAAAAAACATTCACCCAATTTTTGTTGTCAGGACGTGCTCATTCTGTGGGGGGAGAATGATCAAATCTTTACTGTGGACCTTGCTCACCGTTTGCAGAGGTAAGATGAGCTTTTAGATTGTGCTGGTTTTGATATGTGCGATTTGCCAACAGGCATCTGAGTGATTCCAAACTGGAGATCATCCCTGGAGCAGCGCACGCTCCTCAAGTTGACAATCCTAAAGCTTTCAATGGTATAGTTGTTAAATTCTTGTACGAGAATTGAAGGAGAAAATTTTATAAATCAAAACGACCTGACAAATCACCCTCGTTACGAGATGCGGTCAGCATAGGACAGTTCAGGTTGAACAACTTGTTGAAATCCGGCTGCAATGGACCCACAGCACCTGCTGGTAGTGAAAATGCACCTAAATGCCGAGCAATGTCTGGAGAGTCCAGAGATCAGGACACTGTGCATGTTAAACTGCACAGTGAGCGCCTCAAATGTGCAGTCCCTGTGATCAGATAGCTTCTCGAAGCCCTGCGATTGTACACAGACAAAGTTTTAGAAATATAAAACGAAAGCAGAGAAAACGGGAGAGCTGGGCCAGAAGGTGGCCGACGTCCAGGTCAGGGGCTCCAAAACTAGGTGATGAGAAATATTTAAGCTAGAAAAGAAATCAAAATATAAATCACAATAACCAATTCACCAAGCACAAAAAAGCAAAGTACAAAATGAGCAACATATGCTACTGAAAGGTAAACAGGGGTAAAAAGTTGGACCACACTTCCGGTGAAGAGCTACAAATTCACCACAAAACATGAGAGAGCGTAGTAAACACGACCCTCCCAGCAGTAGAATTTGTGGTGGCATCGGCTACTAGCCATAACAGGCAAGCAATTAATAAAATATACATCTCAACCATAATTGTATTAAGTTTCGCGCCATATATATAACCAACAATGTTTTATGATATACTCAATGTACAATATACTTCCTCCATTTGGTGCTTCTTAATTGAGTACAAGTGTAAACAACTCTTATTAACTATGAGACCACCATCTGCCTAGAACTTGTTCACGCGTATGTGGCGTCTTAGTTCCTTGTGATGGATGAAGCTCACCACCAAGTCCTCCAGATTGGACGGAGACGATCCGAGGAGTGTGCCAATTCATGTAAGTGCCAGGAAAGAGAAACTCGTTATTCTCTCTTTCCTTCTCTCAAGGAAGCAGAAGGCGCTGTGCACAAAATAGCCAAGAGAAATTCAGAGGTGACATTTTTGAGGCTCAAGGTGGAAGAGGTATCAAAACAGTGGAAGACAAGATTTCATGCACATTAACCTCGATCTCTTTGTTTGACAGGAGGGAATCCAGGAGATTGTGCGGCAAATCACGACTCTCTCATTTTTGAGCTTCTGTGTAGCCAACCTTTTATTTCTACAAGGGAGGAGATGTGGTGGGAAAGCTGATCGGACGTGAAGAACACAACGCCCAAGGAGATCGGAGCTAGGCAGAAAAGAAGAGAAAACCAATCCATTGGCAATGAATGAGGAGGACTTACTCGCGCAAGTGCTTGTAGTCGTCCGCCGTGGTAACATCGATTGTCCGGGGATGAGGATCGAATCCAAAAATGTAGCCTTGGAGAGAAATCTGTGGCTTACCTCGCGGAGGAATGCTGCCGGGAAGGCCAGTCGAAGTGAGGCTCGCCATAAAGACCTACCTAATGCTATCGTATCTTTGATATAAACTTTGAAGCGATCGTAGCTTTTACTCGGGAGATCTTTGCGTGGGAGAAATATCGTGTCTTTTAGATTCGATTCTACACACTAAGTTCTCGCTCGTTCTTTGTTTTGGTTTTCTTTCTTGGTCATGAGAGTTTTTACATTATTAGCTGCTGGATTTGGCGTCTCGCTGCTGTGACGATTCCCCACGCACTGCCTGCGGATTCCAGTGCCGCTTTCGCTGGTTTATAAACCAGTTGTTGATCTGCTTTGGGTCCAGCCCGGTGGATTGCGCGAGATTCGACTTTTGGTTCTCCTGTCCAGCACAACGAAGCAAATGTCAAAGAAAAAAGCGATGAAAAGGACACAAAGAAGGAACAAAGCCATGGCACGCCCACTAGCCATAACGAGAAAGAGACACAGAATGCCAACAAGAAAGAACACAAAGGTACTCACATTGGGATACGGATGATCCTGGTGCTGTGACCACCAGTCCAGCAGCTGCTGCCTCGATTCCTTGGGGAGCTTCCCCTTTTTCTTCTTCTTGAGATATTCCTGCGTCAGGCCCTTGATGTAACCTCCATACCTCTTCATCAGGACCTTCTTGAGCTCCTTGTCGCCCGCCAGTGGATCCAAATCGGTGTCCACCTCTCCAATCCCGCCGCTCTCGGCCTCCTCCATGAAATCCTCGTATGTTTCACTCGCATCCTCGTTCTCGGCTGCCAAAACCAAAGCAAAATACCCAAGAACAAGCGTTAGTGCCACTCAAAACAGTGCGGAGAAGAAGGATTCGTTCAGCTGAAAACAGCCGTACAACCGCCGCGAGTCTTCCGTACTCCTGCGATCAATGCTCCCATCTCTATCCGACCACCTACGCATTAGATATGTTCCGAATCTAGCCCGCGGAATGCCAGCGCCCAGCCCAGCCAGCATTCACAAAATGGTGGTGACGTGAACAGGCAGCTCCATCTTCACGTGAAAACTTCCTATCGGCCGGAAGATCACCCGCAGAAAGGGAGAAAGATATCGAAAACCTTCTCTCTTCTTTTCTCCCTTCCTCTCTTTCTTCCAAAACTGTCGCTGTTGCTGCTACCACTGCTCCTGCTGCTGCCGCTGCTGGCGATTATGATGATCTTTCGCTATCGGATTTGCGATCCCCGTTTGATCCAACGAGAGCGTGTTACAATCCAATCCAATCCAATCTATAGAGATGCATAGAGCTGGATAGCACCAAAGCCTGAGGAGGATTTAAAAGGTACCACCCGTCTCTGTAAAGATCTGCTCATCTGGATTAAAAACCTTTGCATTGCAAGGAACCTGCGTTTCCCTGCCTATTTACCACCAGCTCCAAACAAGACGACTGCGAAAACAAGACCTCTGTGGCACCTCCTAAATGCAAAGGTCACCTCACTATCAGAGTCCCTCGCACTATCACCATCAGCTGAATTATTCCATACCCCCCGGACCAATTTGCCTCATGTGTCTTGCTTTCCTTTTTCCATTCCTCATGATTCTGGATTCTTATTTTTATCTTTCCCTGCTAAGCTGCTGCTGCTGCTGCTGCTACTAGTGATGACGATCATGAACGAGTTTCACTCACAGGCAGCACGATCAACGTAAAAAAAATGGGAAGAAGGAATGGACTAAATCATGCAGCAAGTATAAAGAAACTTAGTGCGAAAAAGGTACCCAAGAACGCAAGCCACCGGACAAGCAGCGTTGTAAGAGTGTTTGCGAGCTTTACCAGAAGAGAGCACGTCGATGTTGCTAACTGCGATGACACTGAGCTGGTGCTCTTGCTTCTTGCAAAACTCGATGGCCTCTTTGAAAGTTCTCCGCAGCTCGATCTCATAGGCGTTGAGGACATTGCAGTAAGCAACCTGGTAGAACACTGTAAGACTTTGGAGCTGCGAGTGAGTAAGTTACCATGAATTGATCCAGCTCTGGATCAACTCCAATGCTCGTCTTGACGGCACTCTCGAATTCACGTTTCCGAACGAGCTCGTCCATCTGGGCCGCCAAATCCGCGGAAGCTCCAACCTGAGAGAGAGGCGAGAACTACATTTTCGCATAAAACCCTCTCGAACTACAGCAAGAAAACGAAAACAAATCTTTTTTTTTTCTGCTCTCACCTTGTAGCAATTCATGTGTGCTCGAAGGAGCTCCTTGTACTGCGGATGTCCTGATATGGCCGACATGATCTCGCTATCTGACAGTGAAACCTTGCTGCCGCGCGGATCCATGTCCTCGTGTTCCGTTCTTGGTGCCGCCATGGATGATGTTGGTGCTAATGGCGGCGGCGGTGGCGGCGGCGAGGTTGTGAGTCCCTCCGCTGCCTGCTCTATCAAACCTTCGACGAGCCATTCCTCCATGTTTGCGAATTTCGTTGGCGCGTAACCCCCAGCCATGATCTTGGAAAACTAGAGAAACTTGGAAGTAAAACTGTGGTGATCTTAGGGGAGAGAAGCGATGATCTTAGGCACGTAACCGGTCTTATCCTTTGCCCTCCTCCCAGTGTGTAACTTTCTGTGGAGACTTATCAGGAAAAGAATGCGACCCTCGACTGGAATTGTGTGAGCAAAGCTTCTGCAGTGACCGCAACACACACCGGAAACGAATGGCTCCGGGGATGGCTCGATTCTCCGCTGCTGCTGAAGAAAAGAGCCTCTCTACCTTTTGTAAGACTCTAGGTGCTACGGATCAAAGACTTCGCGATTCACCACCGCGTCGATCCAGAGCTGCAAACCCAAGTAGCACGCTTGCAGTAGACGCGGACCACACGCGGACCCAAGTTATGAAAATCATAGCCCATGAATTTATCAGCTGCGGCTCCGCGTATGAAACGGGATCGATATCTTGGCGTCCCCCTTGATCAAAGAAGAACTTATAAGCAGTGCTGGACTAGAAAATCTCGGCAGTCTCGTCCTCCACAAATTCCTGTTCCTCCCCTTGCGATTCTTCGCCCGGTGTTTTGTGCTTGCTGGGCTTGCGCTTCTGCTCCATCCATCCAATGATCCAAGAGAGAGAGGGTCTCGCTCGCCGCTCGCGTGTCTCTGAGAGAGAGAGAGAGAGAGAGAGAGAGCGAGCTCGGGAAAGAGAGAGAGTCTAGAAAGAAAAATGCTTTAAACACGCTAATCCAGCTTCGTTTTTTATAGAGTCTTTTGCTTGTCTGTCTGCTTCGGGAGAGATTTTGCCAAAGTTGACGGCTTAAGGAAAAGCCCGGGCATTGCTGACACAATCTCCACCTCCGCTTCAATTAATGTTTTATTCCGAGAAAATTTACGTGGTAACTTCTTTCTCCCTATATTTACCTTGGGGGCTTAATCCGACGGACAGCGACGCCGCCACGCCGCGCTTGTTCCTTTTAAGCTTTCACCTGCGGTAAAACACGGACCCAAGCGTACGGACGGCCCCCGCTTGCGTCAGCCAACATTCGCTTACGTTGACGTTTTTTTGGGCCCCTCTTCTCTTCCACCACCTAGACCCGTACGGAAGGGGCCCAGTTCAAACCCATGGTTTGCCACAAGGGGGCATTTGGGTGCTTGATGGTTTTACCCCGATTTCAATGAAGATTTTCTTATACTTACTGTACTTTGAAAGCGCCATCTTTTTTCTTAATTTAAACTTTTCTTTTTCCTTTTTGTTTTCCGTATACGGCATTGTTGTTCAACATTTGGTCAGCCATGTTGCCCGAGCGCAAGTTGGCCAGGAGCTTAAGAAGTGTATCCTATTTTTCTAACATTTCTCTGTGCTGGCCCCTTTCTGTGGATGTATGAGATAGAGATAGTGGTAGTTTTCGTTTGATCCCATCCCATGGTTTTAGCCCTCCTGCAATTTCATCAATACGGTGGGTGCCAACAAAAAGAAAAAATGCAATGCGTTTGGCCTCTTGCGTTCTCGCTAGATATTTCCAATTGTTTAATACTTTTGTTTCCTTTTTCTTCCGCACACGAAAGCGATTGGAACGCAGGGCACACGAAAGTGGGTGCAACGGAAGCCAATTTTCATTGCATCATCCAATTTCTCGACCACATCAAAACAGAAAATACTTCAAGTATTTGAAAACCCTTTGAAAAGCAGATATAACCTAGCGAGGAATGTTGCAATAAAGAGAACGGTGTGTGATTAAAAATCAGGGGGGCCGTGATTCCATGATCTATCAATGAGAAAGTTCCATGGCACATTTCGTATAAATGGTGGTGGACTTTTATAAAATACAGCTATGGAGCAATAAGATGTGGCCCTCCAGCACAGATACCTTTCTTTCTTCTTCCAATTCCTATTGTATATCTCATTGGAATTTGGTGATCAAGCTTTCCCCCAGAGATGGGCACTGGGAAAGAAAAAGTGAAAAGAAAAAGGAAAGAAGCCTTCCTTCCCTGTAGCAAGCGATTTGACACTTCCCAACGAGCACTTTGACTGCTGCCGCTGCCGCTGCTACTGCTGAACCTGCCTTTTTTTCTCCAAAACCAAAAACAGCTGCTTACTGTTCTGCTGCTAGTGCTGCTGCTGCTGCTGCTGCTGCTGCTGCCGCTGCTGCTACCGCAGGAAATGCACATGGAAACCGTACCGAAGTTTTTGGACTTTCCACCACCGCGCTTGGTTCTCTCGCGACTCGCGATGCGTCTCCATTCTCGTCCATCCAGAGGACTGCGAAGAATCCCTTCAGGAAGGTGGAGCGAGCGGGCGAGCTCGTCGGCTGAACTTATTACACATTGACTCTCCTGTTACCTGAGAAGCCAGCAAAAACACATAAAGAAAGCGATCAACGCCAGTTAGTCACTTAAGACAGGCGTGAATAAAAATGTACCTCCAGACGACCAATGGGAGCTGCTCGCTTCTCGCTTTCTCCATTCCCAACAAGAGTTCACGTGCCTCCAGACTCTAAACAGTCTACACTTCTTTTCTCCTCCCCTGGGAGTGTTTAGAGGATACGGACTCCACGGCACTGGCTGCTGCTCTCGTTTCGTGCCGCTTTTTAATCGATCAATGCACTGCACGCGGTCAGCTTGAAGCACTGGAAATCTATAGAGAGAAAACGCAAAAAAGCAAAAAAAAACAGAGCCTCCCAGCTTGTTTACCACCGGGTTTACCTCTTTACATGCTAATCCGGCCGGCCTCACACCGCCATGGGCGTCGCAACGTTTCTGAAGGCAACCTGGACGCGGAGGACGCCTGCCAGCTTTCGGTCATTAACGTTCAGTACGCCTTTTGACCCCATTAAGGAGAGAAGCGACGACTGCAAGTTTGGTCGTGTCATCTCTTCCAGCACCGGTGGCGCCTGCATGTAGAGATTGGTTCCTTGGAAGGAAACACTGGGCTTGGATAGCTTATCCTTAAACCTCGCGTCCAGGAGCAGCATGTCAATGAACTGCACAAGAGAAGAAAGAAAAAAGTCAAATAACTTGTCTGCATGCTTTTCTAGATAGACTACCTCCTGCAGAGTAATAGAACCATCAACTTCAACAGGGACTCCCGGACTGCAAACCATACAGCTTGAATCCTTCTCATAGGAGACCGTGTGGGTGTAAACACCCTGAGTTCCAGAGTACCTACACGATGGTAGCATTGAAACAAAGAAAGAAAAGCCCACATGACGTACATCATATAGTTGTCAAGGCCTTTACTGCACATCGTTGCCAGTTTGAGCGCTTCAAGGGAGCAAATGGCCGAAACAATGGCATTAGTCGAAGCGATTGCAGGTATGATGTTCTTAACAACGCCCTGTCAAGAATACTATTAAAACCGGACAAAGTTTAAAGTGACACGCAGCACCTGTGTCAGCGAGTAAGTCACACCGCTGATGTTAAACTGCTCAGCGCGTTTCAATGCCTAAGATAAAGAACAAGTAAGGCAATGACAGAGAAAAGTAGAAGATGAGCACCTGCTCGTACATCCACGTCATATGTTCCGGGTTGTCAGGATTAAAAGACTCGCCTTCTCGATCCTGTCAATAAGAACATGAAAAATCTATGAGCCAAAAACGTGACTCATACCTGACCCCATTGTATGAGGTGAACGTACTCGATGCAATGAGCTGGAGACCGAGGGGTCTCAGCTAGTGTACAGAGCGGATAAGTGACCTGTGGCGGAAATAGCCAGAGAGTACAATGGAAACACGGCGTGAATCCCGGCAGTATCACTCGGGCATGGCCCTTGAAGCCCTCCGTTCCACCATCAACCATTGGTTTGATAGTTGACATGTCGAGCTCGCCATCTTCGTTGTACTCTGTGCGAAAAGTAGAAATAAAAGTCACGACCTGAAACAATAAACACGAAGTTTTACCCAAAAAGCTGCAGGCAATGGAGTTGATGTAGCTCCGAGCTTCCAGTGAATCCAAACCAAGAACTATAAGCTGAAACTCTCGGTAGAACTCAATGTCTTTGTCCTCAATCCGACCGTAGTGTGGAGTCACGGTGACACCTTTGATACGCTGCATAATCTTCTCGGCGGCAACTTGAGCCTTTGGCTTTCCCACATCGTGCATTCTGCCCGAAACCAAAGAAAGAACATATAAGCTCACTCTCGTTTGGCATGGTTTTTGTCACACACCTGAATAGAAATTGCCGGTTGAGATTGGAGACATCGATCGTATCCATGTCGATCACGTCGATATTTCCAAAGCCGGAGAGCGCAAGATCCTTGAGCATCTCGCAGCCGAGGCCGCCGGCGCCTATCACCAGAATTTTGAAGTCGCGAAGGAATTCCCTGAGCTGCAGAGAAAGAGAGCTGCCTATCACCAAGCACACACTGCGCGCAGCGCTGCATACCTCTGGACCCGGCTCGAATCCGTCACTGACGAGCTTCCCAGGGCGCTGGAGGAGAAAATCGATGTCCCGCCATCGCGCTTCCATCGCGCAAAAACCCTAGTCTAATGCCCAAGCCCTAAAAAAGTCTGGCGATTGAAATATTTTTACGAAAGAAAAAGTTGGTACCATACAGTATCTTACTTAGTTTTAGTTTGGATACATCTTGGTGGAGCGGAGTTCTGGAAATCGTCTTACAAGGGCCTTCCAGAGTGTGATAATCCAACGTTGATACCGCGTTCTTTCTCGAAATCGTTCTTGAGCTTAGTGATCTCCTAAAGTCTGCAAACATGTAAGCTTCTCTTTCATCTCCAGTAGAACTGTTTCTAATGTCGCTCGGCGGTGATTTCCAGCTATGAAACCGCTCTAGCCATCAGACAGTTCGCAGACGTTCCACTTTCAACGGGGAACTTTCAAGAGCTTGCTGCATTCCTCGGTAGCAACATTTCTCCCGCGAGAGGATGTCATGAAAGAGCTCCGAGCATGGCTTCCTTCGAAAATCACTCCTCTGAAAGACAATGGTACCCAATTGCTGCTCAGAAAGTTGCGCAGGTCATCCCAGACTTGTGGTCCATACTCTCGATAGTCGGCAGTGCTGATGAAATACCAAGGCTGTTCGTCGGTGGGAATGTAAAGTTTCATCGTGCCACTGGCGAAGTGTGTCAGCCTGAGATCACCGCAGCTGACACCATTGTTAAGGGCCTCTCGAAGGTTGAAGGTTACCACGGTACTGCTGACGATGCACCTGTAGAAGTTCTCCTCGGTTGACGGTACCATCTCGCTCCTCAAAGTTGTCAAGGCGCCGCGGATAAATGGTCGACCATGGTAGTTCTTTCTTCTCGAGCCAGCCAAACTCTTCGATTCCTTCGGAGAGCTTTGCGCGACCCTGTCCCAGTGATGCTCGTCACTGCATCAAGCAAAGATTCAGCAACGCACGAGCCAGGCTTCCAAGAATTGTGTTCTTACCCGAGACAAAATGGTGAAGATTGATCCCTGTGTTGCATAGCGCTCTCTGGACGTTTGGAGACAGCTTGCGTGAATCAGGCCGAGGCCTGAAACTCCATTCTCTCGCAAGAACTCGTTAATTCTTCGTGAAATATCCATCGGATTCACATCGGGAAGGCTTGTGTGATTACCTTTGCCGCCGCGGATCATCCAATCCAGCGACGAATGCCAAATCTACACCAAGAATCCAATGCAGCCATCGCCGGGATCGCACAGAGCCCGCATTTTGATAGAAATCCCACCGGATCCGAGAAACCCTACAAGACTTAGTACAGAGAATGATCAAGGTGATCGATCACACCACATAGCCATGCTATGAAATGATTGTGTTTCAAAACCAACGGCCACGATGGTATTTATTTCACAACAGCTTTAAATCTCACGAGACGAGTGCGCCCGCGTCGTCGTTATGACATGGGAGCGGAGACTGGAATGCTGACGCGGACAGCTTCTTGTAGATGGGGCCCACGTCCAAGTACACGTAGCCGCTCTCCGCGTCGTCCACGGAGCTCCCTGACCGGCAGCCACACGAGGAGGACCTTTGACTGGACGCCGGTCAAGTCTTCCATCCGTCCGTACATGACCCTTCCGTTGACCTCCTCGCCGTACCACAGGTACTCGTCGCTCACCTTGACATAGCACGATGTCTCGAATCTCATGTGGAAGGCGCGATCCTCCTTGTCGAAAGAAAAGTGTGTGACGAGAGAAACTGGGAAGAGCTCTTCCGGAAGATTGTATTTCCGGAGCATCATTCTGGCGGAATCGATGGCCGAGGCGCCCGAATCCTCAAACCTGTGAAAGGCTGCCGCTAGAGAAGAAAGCCCAAAGAGAAGCGAGAGGAACAAGGAGAAAGAAGCCATGGCAGCGATAGATTGATCGATGATCTTCTCTCTTTTCCTTCTCTTGGGAATCCATAAGATTTTATAGAAGGGAACTGTGTCTTTGCATGGAGGACAAGTAGCATGCACTAGCTGAGTCGATTACAGCAAGTAAATGCAAATCGAACTCCAAAATGTTGGATTCGTCAAAGTCGAGGCCTGGAAGAAAAAACTAGAATCACGGGAAAAAACTGAGTTAAAAATTTTGGTTTTACCCTGCCAAGGGTGGAGAGTATGGAGTAAAATCGGCCGAAAGAATTCGCTTGCAATGAGGCTGGATCTTCTCCTCCATAATCTACACAGAAATCTTTTAAGCTAAGTTGAAACTTGCATGAACTTACCTTCACGTACGCAGGGTGAGAATAGAACCCTTCCACGGTATTTTCTGCAGAAACGAAATAGTTTTTCAGTGAGCATTCTAAAAACCTTCTAAGGAATTTGGAAACCTGAGGCAAGTCGTGCAACAAACGCATGAGAAAAGGCCTTGTCCCGCAGATAGTTGTTCGAACCTGAAAAATTCTCCAAAAAATTAGTCATAGAAAAAAAATTCTAGAAAACTTGCCAGCAGAAATCTGTAGAACGATCGACGGCATCTCGTTTTTCAGGCTGTAGAGAGAGCTCATAACATCCTCCACAGCTTCAGAGGTGATTTCATCGGCGAACTTCCAGAATGTTATATGGACAACACTGTTTTCGTGTTCCTGTAGAGCAAGAGACATTATAAAAAAATTCGCAAGGAAAAAAAAATTCCTCGGGATTTAAAAACCTTTACGAGATCGTTGAATGCAAACCCACTGTAGTCCACTGTATACTCCCCCTGAATTAGTCACAGTAAAAGGTAAGAAATCTCTGGAATTTTACGAGCTCACCGAAAGGGATGGTAGCATCTTCTGTATAACTTCCATAAGCTGCTCGGAGGTGTAGTAGTCGATGAGAGCCTTTCGAGAAGGAAATCGAACGAAGATTGCGTGAGTGCATCCATCGATTTCTTTGAGCAGTCGGCCTGGAAAGAGTGGAAACATGATATACATTACATTGTTTTCACGGAAACCTGTAGAGAGTGTTATCAGATCTGGGAACTTTCCCTTGAGCTCGTAGAGACACCCAAGGATAACTTCCTCGCGCTCCTTGTCATTTTGGAGGCGAGGCATCTTGAAAATCACCGGATGCTCCACCACGACGCTACAAATCAAAGTGGAAACTCTTTCTATGTTCTAGCGAAATGTAAAACTACACCTCATTCCTTCCGGAGCAACGATTTGCGAGTCGGGGTCAGAGCCCTCCATTTCTCTTTGCATGACCTAAGTTTTTACAGAAAATCGCTTGCCCTAATTCCCTAGGCATGACTTTAAGAGGTGGTGTAAGCTTGTAGTATACGACCCTTCCCAACCTTATTTAATTTTTCTATTTTGGCAAATCCTTAATGTTGAGTGACGTGGCGGTGTCACTGTCCATTGGATTATGGGTTTTGGAGCAAAAGAAAAACCTCGAGAAGAATCGAGAGGAGAGCAATTTGTGGAGGACTTGACTGCTGAGTCAATCACTGCATATAAGCCTTCAAGGGGGAGGCCAAGCGATTGATCCTTCTCTTTTTATTTGGCAAACGCCGAGCAGCAGCTGATAAATTCGTGGGCTAAGATTTTGATACCTTGGGCCGCGTCCTGCAAGTGTGCTAGTTGGTTTTGCAGCTCTGAATCACTCTGCAGAACCGATGCTTGTCTTTCTGAACCGTCTTTGCAGTAGCACAACTTCTCTCCTCTAGGTTCTTTTCTTCAGCGAATCATCAAGAGAGCCTTTTCGGTCTCGATAGTTCTTCTGAAATACTGCAGAAAGTTTTTTATCTCACAGTTTTTCCAGTCCGCATTCTTTTCCTATGATAAGTCCCTACGGCAGTGCGAGGAGGGCAAAGGTAAGACTGGTGATGTGTCTAAGATCATCGCTTTCTCACCGCGCGCTACCCTTCCACTCCAAGTTTCCCAAGATCATATGGCTGAGTTCGCAAACATGAGCGAATCGCAAGGTTTCGTGGACAAATGGCGCATCCAAGGTTTAGAGCAGGCAGCGGTGGGACTTATACCGTCACCACCGCCGCCATTCACGCCAATGGCAACATCTCCACTGGAACACGAACTGCTCGCTGAAATGTTAGAGCAGGCCGCGCCGGGATTCACAACATCGTCACCGCCGTCGCCGCCCGCATCAACATCATCGGGCTGCACCAAGAACATCTCCACTGGAACACGACGGGGTGCGGCAGCAACGTTTCACTGTCAGATAGCGAGATCATCTCAGGACAGCTGCAGTACAACGAGCCGTGTCGAGCACAGAAGGTGAGAGCAAAAAAAAGTTTTTCTTTTTGTTTCTTTGCTATAGTTCGATCTCAGGTTGCAGCTTCGACGGATTTGGGGACCCAGGTCATCGCTTCTTCCCATTCTCTCGTGCTGCCTGTGCGTGAAACTCGTTCGTGATCTTCATCAGTAGCAGCAGCAGCAGCAGCGCTGCTGCTGCTACTGCAGGATAGACAGCCTGTGTACGAAAGACCCCGGCGGTTGTACGGCTTTACTTCAGCTGAACGCCTCTTTTTCCTCAGTTTTTGAGTGGAACTAACGCTCGTTCTTGGGTTTTTTCTTTGGTTTTGGCAGCCGAGAACGAGGTCATGGAGAAGGCCGATCTTGGAGAGGTGGACACCGATTTGGATCCACTGGCGGGCAACAAGGAGCTCATGATGAAGACGCTGATGAAGAGAGTCTGCTTCAAGAAGAAAAGGAAGAAAAAAATCCCCAAGGAAGCGAGGCAACAGCTGCTGGACTGGTGGTCACAGCACCAGGATCATCCATATCCCAATGTGAGTTTCTTTCAATGTGTCCTTTCCATTCCATTGCTTATTTTCTTTGACATATTGCTTCGTTGTGCTGGACAGGGGGACGAAAAGTCTAATCTGGCGCAATCCACCGGGCTGGAACCAAAGCAGATAAACAACTGGTTTATAAACCAGCGCAAGCGGCACTGGCCACAGGCAGCGCGCGGGGAATCGTCACAGCAGCGACATTCCAAATCGAGGAAACTCTCCACGACGAAGAAAAAATAAAACGAAACAAATAGTTTGTATAGAATCGAATCTCAAAGACAAGATATTTCAGTAAGCCAGAAATCTCTCTCCAAAGCATCAGGATCCAAGCAGCGGTGGCATCCCCGGATCAACGACTACCACTGCGGAAGACTACAAGCAGTTGCTACACATTCAAAGCTAGTAAGCCCTCATTTCTTGCCAATGAATTGATTTCTCTTCTCCTTTCTTCTTCTGCCTGGCTCCGATCTCCTTTGGCGTTGTGTTCTTCACGTCCGAGGAGTATGCCAATTTATGTAAAAGTGCCAAAAGAAATACGAGCTACTTAAGGTTGAGATTCACTCCTGTCTAGGACAGGAAGCAGAAGACGCTGTGTAAGGGGTGACATTTTTGAGGCTCAAGGTGGAAGAGGTATGAAAACAATGGAAGATAAGGTTTCACGCACATTAACCTCGATCTCATTGTTGGACAGGAGGAAATTCAAGAGATTGTAGGTACACATCACGACTGGTAATGTTTCCTCTCTCTTCTCGCATTATTTAGCTTCAAATCGTTCCCTTTGTCTGGGTCGTGTGTAGCCAGCCTTTTATTTCTACGTTCTATCATCTTGAAACATTTGGGAGCATTGGCACCTGTTCGGAAACTTCGAACTGATACATGCTCCTTGTAGCTGGGGCCGACCTCTATACACACGTCTCTCTGACCGGCAGCCACACGATTGACTGGACGCAAGTCAATTCTTCCGTATATGACCTCCCCTTGGCGGCAGTCTTTCACAGGTTTGAGGAAAGCCCAGATAAACCTTCTCTCTTGGCTGATCAAATAAGAGTTTTGTTTCAACATGGAGTGCTCATAATTTACAGAAAGCTTTCTGGCAAAGTTGAAACTTACATATAGTTACCTTCACAGATGTAACATAGAGACAAAGCATCACGTAAAAAGTATTGCAAACCCGTGCAAGAAACGCATTTCTTCGCAGATAGTTCGACCCCGACAAATTCTCCAAAATAATGAAAGAATCTAGAAAACTTGCCAGCAGAATTCTGAAGAAAGATCGACGCATCTCGTTTTCAGGCTGTAGGGAGCTTATAACATCATCCACGAGTTCGGAGATGATTTCATCGGGGAACTTCTCAACCTTTCAGAGCTTGTTGAATGCAAATCCTGTAGTCGACTGCATACTCTCTTGTAAAAACTAGGAATTTTATCTAGAATCCTTTTATCTGCATTTTTGGTATAACTGTTTGGAAGTCTAGTAGTCCATGACCTTTCGCAAGGAAATCGAACAAAGATTGCGTGTGTGCATTGATTTGACTGGAACAAGTGGAAAGATGATATATGTTACATTTATTTGATCACCACAGAGCTACAAATCATAGTCTGAAAGTTCTTTCTGTAAAAACGATTCTTTTGCTTTTAGTCGAAGAAACTACACAAAGCTGGTAATACCTAGTATAAGAAAACAGATTTATGACAAAACTGCGAAACCCATATGCTTGTACTGTACATTGTACTCAATCAGTGATTTCTTATACGGGCGCTTATGCCATAGTCGTCTTCAAATTTCGTGCTCGCTTCTCACGGATCAGCGCCCTTTTCCTTGAAGAGTTGTTCTTGGCAGCAGCCACAGCTTGCTTTCTCCTCTCTGGAAAATCAAAGGAGAGAAGTGTTAAGCCCAAGAACAAACAAAACATGTAGAGATTACGAGATTACGGTACCTGTTGCTGCTGCTTTAGTCTCTTGAGCAGCTTCCCGAGCGGCAACCCTGTGAATCGGATTGACGGGATGCCGGAACCGCACCATAGATACTTGAATCGACGCCTTCATATGCTTGAACTTCTCGGCCATTTTCGCTCGAGCAATCGCCATTCTCTCGCCACTCGCGGCTCTCATGTCCACGAACTTCACCATTGGGCTCGTTACCTTGTTCTTCACCACTGCCCCGGTCGTGCTCTTGTGCTTCTTAGCTGCGGGCGCTACTTTCCTCGCCATTCTAGCGAAAACTCGACTAGATCTCTACGAGAAAACGTAAGATCGAAAGAGAGGTGGAAGAAATTCCAGAGGAGGACGAAGATGAGAGATCCTTCCTAGAGCTAGAGAAGAAAAAAATGTATCCCAAACCTCTGATAGATTCGTAGCTCTCTAGTGTGTAGATAGTTCCCCAGTGGAGAGGCAGCTTTGGGTTTTAAACCATCGCGAAACGTAGCGATTTTTGCGACGCGTGTCCGCGGTTGGCGTGAAGTGTCGCAAGAACGCGTGTCGCGCATCCCCCAATTCGCGGACCCTACGTGGCAATCCTTCACGTCCAACGTGGCGGCGATTTACTCCTGGCGTGGCTTTTTACTTTTCACCTCCGGCTCTGGAATATAGGGTTTTCAGGGACTTTAAAAATATAAAAAACCAGATAGTACCAAGAACAAAGGAGTTCTTACTTGAGATGAGCGCCTTTGGCCGGGTTTTAAACAAGATCTTGTGCCGTACAACGCCCACCACTTCCAAATCCGGTGAGGATGGCGCTTCATCTACTCGGGGATTTTGAGATTTGGAGCTTCGGAGGACAAGCAATGGCTTCTTAAGCGTGATTTTGCGGCCTTCGAGCTCGTGATAACCCACAGTGAAGGAGAACTTGTCCTGAATCGATCGAGAGATTTCCAATGTGAGCAAGATTTTGATCGACTTTCACACATACCTCGCTTGCCCGGCAAAGCGATCCAATCTCCAGGCCCTGGAGCTGCTGCTCGGGGTTCTGGAGCTCGATCGAGCCCTGCAGCTCGATGATCGCCCACTGCTTGCATTGGGCGCCACAATCGCAGCGCACCTGGATTATCATTCTCTCTTCGTTCTTCGTTCTTCGGTCTAGGGCAAATCTCCTTTCTGCGTTTTAGGGTTTTAGCGCCAGAGAGGCGAGCTCCACTCTCACAGGTGAGCTAGCGATCGCTGTACGATCCATGGAAAGAATGCAGCTGGTGTGTGTGTCCGGGCACACGCTCCTGGCGCTGCTCTTCCTCGTCGCGGCTTACATCGATCTGTGCGACGCGGCCTCCGTCTTCGATGTCTATCGCGCGATACAGTACGATTTGCGAGGGATTCCAATGGGGTCGCGGCGCGCGAGCTTGAATCACCACGCTAGCTCCGGACTGTCTGTGCCTGGATCCGACATTACCAGGTCTGTCGTGATTCTTCCCATTGCAAAGGTCAACATTACGCTCCTCAATGGTAAGATGGATGTTCTCTTTTCGAGGTCTAGCCTTTTGGTTTTCTATCGGATTTGTTGCAAACTTACCTGTGCCAATGCTCCAGAGTATCTTCAAGGAAAGCGAATCTTGGGTGGACTCTTGCTCTTGCTCCCGGAGAAAGGCCATGGCGACGATAACAAAGACGAAGATGCGGATGAAAATCTCCAGGTCGAGCGTGACCTTGAGAATTGGATCATCAAGAACAACGTTCCTGTAAGTTTGCCGATGTTTTCTATGACAAGGTCGGGGCTTAAGTTTTTTTTTCTTTGACAGTATCCTGTTTACTTTGTCTACGAGACCCCAAGTCTCAAAGCTTTGTTGGATGAAGTTATAGCGAACGATCTAGCGGGGAAGCCTGCCACTGCCACCACTGGAGGGTAAGTGATTTTTTCTGTGACTGTTTGACAACCTTCCTGACTGGGATTCTATAAAAGGTTTAAGCTAGTTGTTTCCGGTCCTGAGCCCAGAAAAATTCCACCTCCATCGCTCGTCAACATCCAGGTAGCGAGAATATTTTCGAAATAGTTGTCTTCTGGTTTTTACGTTTCTACAACTTGACAGGCATGGCTACCTGGACTGAGAAGCGAGGGTGATAGTTCTGTTGTCCAAACTATAGCTATAGTAGCATGGTATGATACCTTTGGGGCGGCTCCAGTTGAGTTTCTGTTTTTTCTCATCGCAATAGACTCTTCGTTGACCTCTGAATTCGTGATGGATGCACAGGGGATTCCTGCTGGGACTGATAGCAACGGAAGTGGCGCTGTCGCACTCCTGGAGATTGCTCGGCTATTTTCTCGTCTGTATGCCAATCCGAAAACGAGGGGTCGGTACAACCTTCTCTTTGGCTTGACTGCTGGAGGGCCTTACGATTACGAGGGTACTTCTAAGGTACGCTTGAGTTCATACAACTTTGTTTTCGATTGTTTTGGTCTTTTTTCACAGTGGTTAAAGAGCTTTGACCAACGGCTTAGGGAGAGCATCGACTATGCGATATGCCTCAATTCTCTTGGCTCTATATCTGGGGAAAAATTGTGGTTGCATGTTTCTAAACCACCAGAAAACGCTTATATCAGACAAATACACGAGGTTTATTTGATAAGTGCTTTTGTCGGAATTCGTTTCATTATTCTTGTTTTTGCAGGGACTTTCTGAAGTAGCGACAGAGTTGGGACTAACGGTCGAGGTTAAGCACAAAAAGATCAACATTTCAAGCTCACGGGTGAGAAATTCTTTTCTAGCTGCATCTTTTGGATTAATCTGAATTTGTTTTCCATTTGTCAGGTCACTTGGGAGCACGAGCAATTTTCCAGGCAGAGAATAACGGCTGCCACGTTGTCGGAGCTTGAAACTCCTTCAGAGCTTCTAGAAAATGCGGGGAGTATTGTGGACACGAGGTACTTATTTTACAGAAACTTTGTGTGAGCACAGCCGTCTCAAATTGTTGTACAGGGCTAACATCACGCAAGTGATCCTGAGCACCAAGCTCGTTGCAGAATCTTTAGCTGTATGTGTCACATTTTCTTTGGTTCTTTTTTCTCTTGTATTTAGTCGAGCACACTTTTGCAGAGATACATATACGATCAACAAGACAAGCATATAACAGTCTTTGCCGACGGGAGTAATCTAGCAGTCAGCCGTCCATACGTTCAAGGATGGTTGAACTTACTCTCGCGAACGCCTAGAATGGCCCCATTTTTGTCCAGAAACTCTCCAATCATTGCTGCATTTCACAAGGTACGCTCTGTTTCATCATTCCTTTTGCATCGCTAACGTGTATTTTGCAAGCAGGAACTTGCGGATCGCATCGAGGACGTGAAAATCCAACACGAGACAATGGACTCATCCTTCACGTTTTACGACTCAACAAAGTTCGTTCTCAGCATTTTCCAGGTCGCGAGCGTGACATTCGATCTGGTAGTTATGCTGGCTTTTGGCTCATACCTCGGGCTTCTTTTTGTGATTGCACTTGTAACAACGAAGGTAGTGACAAATTTTGCTGCAAACAGCGCTCATAGTTTTCTTATCCAGGGATTGACAAATTTTGCTGCAAACAGCGCTCATAGTTTTCTTATCCAGGGATTGGACGACCTTTTCCGAAAACCACCTTCCTCGAGGAAGATCAAGGGAACGTGAGCGTGTTCGACGACAAAGAGAAAGTTTGGCCATTTTGTAAGCAGCTGTTATTTTGGATCGCTGTGTTTTCACGTCTAATGTGTTAGGGGCTCTCACTCGTGAAATCCAAACACTAAAATATACAGACGAAGAGATAAAAGAATTCGGTTCCTTCACTGGTTCTCAGCGGCCCTTAGCTCGGCCGCAGCAATCTCCGTGTCAACCAAAACTATCAAGTCCCGTGCAATGTGCTTGGCCACCGAGATCATGTCCGTGACAACGCTGGGATCCAAACCTCCGTCACCTCGTTTCGTCAAGCCGAGAATCAAACCTTTGCTGTTCACAGCCACCGACACAGCCGACGACATTCCCATCTCTTCCTCCGGAGTTGCGTCCACAATGTAGTGCCGGCCAATCTTCGAGAAAGTTCACAGTTTCAGTGGCGCCAGAGGAGGAAGGAAATCGAAGAGACGAACCGCACCTTGGTGAGAGTTATGATCAGTGGCACTTTGGAAGCGTCGAGCCGAGCAAACTCGTCTGGATTGTCCCCAACTTCCAGGTCCGCATCGTCCTCCGAGGCTGTGTTTCCGGTAACTTTGACGCTTGGAATGCCAGTGTTGCTCAAGGCGGCCTAGAGGAACAGAGTTACAACACTTGCAGATCTTCCATCACTTGCCTTGACACCGATGGACAGAGCGTCGAGAAGATTCCCATCCGAATTTACAACTAGGCAGTCGACGAAGAGCTCCCAGCAAAACTTGGACGCGACAATTCCCAGCGTGCTCAGATCGATCGCCGCTCCTGCCGAGATGAGAAAGAAGAAAAGTAGGAAAGTTTCAAGGCTTGGAAGCTTGGAAGATGGATGGATTACCAGCACCGCTTGGTCCACCAACGAAGCAGCGTTGCAAAGCTCGCGAAAGCTCCATGTTTAGATCCTCTCCTCCTCGTCCCTGCTCGAGAAAGAAACTTAGAAAAAGAGAGTAGTGGAACCTTCCGATCACCTCAAACTCGGGTCCAGCGGTAGCCGAGCACTCCACCATAACTTCAATGCTGCCATAGTTTGGTCGACCGCTGCGAGGCGATCCAAGCTCTGCCTAAGAACAAGGAGCAAAACTAAGAAAAAAAAATTCTCTTCTCTATTTTTCCATCCATCACCTTGACGCTAACAATCACGTCCGTGCCTCCAAGACGAACGCGAGCCGAGCCATTGGCCTGATCAAACCAGTGTAATTTCGATCGATAAACTAAAGAGAGGGAACTAGCGCAAGCTTCCATCGTGGCAAGGCGATAGAGATAGAGCAACAGACACACAAAGAGAGGACAAAGAAGATCACTCTCACGCTAAGGAAGAAAATGGGGAGTGATTTCTTTCTTACCTGGGGGATGATTCCCACTTGGATGGAGAGATTGCGGAAGTGGTAGCGCCCGCGGCCATCCGATCGCAAGTCGTGCTTGACGCCTCCTTCGATGTAATCGAGCTCGGATCTGGAGAGCGCGACCATTCCCCCGTCTCGGGGTTTTAGGGTTTTAGGAAGAACAAAGGAAATTAAAGATGAGCGTCGCGACTCTAAAGACCTTCATACTTATCCAGAGAGAGCTCTTTCTTACTTTGGAATAGAACCGAGAGAAGATCGATCGAGCAAAGAAGAATTTTTCGATTCAATCCCCCATTTTCCAGGTAAAAAAGCTCGCTTTGCTCGATCTATGACACCGAGCGAAGCCTCCGGAGGATGAGGATCCTGATCCTGCTCGGCAGCGGAGCCTCTCTCACCAATTCACTCAAGAGCCTCACCACCGTCGCGAAGTAGTCGCCGATCAAGTGAACCAGCAGCGCCACGAGTATCATTTCCTTATCCAAATCAATCACCCTTCTTCTTCGTTCTTCTTCGAGCTACTACTTCTCCTTTTGCTTTGCTCTCTTCTTATCAGCAAATCATCTGGAAGCAATCCTCTGATCAAATCCAAGCTCGAGAGATTAAGGAAACAAAGGAAAACCACTTACCTCTGGAGAAGAAGAATAGTTTTTACGCTGGCCACCACTCCACGAAGATCATGACGCTCTAGTGACGGCGACGCTGTGGAGAAGCTTTCCTCTCTTTTTTTTTTCTTGGCTCCGTCGGACCCCTCTCTCCCAAATGGGCTTCCAGAATTTGTCTCCGCGCTTTTGGATGGCGACCATGCACCCGTGCATGCAGCCACGTGTAAACCGCCATAGCCGGAGCTTAAGAAACTTGGCTCTCTCTCTCTCTCTCATGGCTTATCCAGCCAAGCCGCCAGTTTAGCCGCGCTCTCCGCCTGGAACCTGTCAAACCCCTCCTGAATCTCTGTCGAGTTCCCAGGAATCTCTCCTTCCCCTGCTGGCGCTTCTGATTCTTCGGCCTCCTGAGTTTTACTCGTAGAAATCGTGTCCAGCACTGCTCGAACGGGTTTGTTGCTCGAGTTGTCGCTGGAAAGTTTGAGTTCTTCCGTGGATCCTGTGGTTTTGTCCCTGTCCTCTTTGCTGCTGCTAGAGTCGCTCCATCCAATGCTGCCTACTCGCTGAGAGGCCGACTCCAAAACCAAGCGAACGTAGCCGTAAGGAGATGGAGAAGAAGCTGCCGGAGCTTCAGCTGGAGGGGATGGCGGCGTGTCTGGTGTTGGAGAGGACGAGGCTGGAATTGGAGAAGAAGGTTTCCGAGTGAAGCTGCTGGCTCGATCCACGGCCGAGTCCCATAAGTTTCTCGCGTAGTTTGTGGACGAGTCGGAGGGCTTGCTTGTTGGGGACTCCTCGGACTTGAACGGGGAGGAGACGAGCTTTTTTGCGTTTTTGGCCATCTCCGAGACCGAGTAGCTCGATTCCTTGCTCCTGCAAAACACAACTCTCTTCTCAGCGACCAAAAAGCCACTTTTCTCTCAAACAGATCGCTGTTTTTGCAAAAAGTAAGAACTCAAACCTGGATGATTGGAGGGCTTGGATCGAAGAGTTGAGACGTTTGATCATTCTCTCAATCACCGGAGGCCCGACTCCTTTGAAATTCTTGACAGTAGCGAGCGCGTCCTTGGCATCCTCAGTGCTGAGCCCCGAGTCGTGAGCGCAATCGCCTACTTGATCCTGGCAAAAGCTCGCACAGTTCGCAGAGAATTCGTCGCCAGGACAGTACCTTGAGAGAAACAATCGCCGGCACAGCCTTGTGGACGTGCTGCTGGACAAAGTAAAGCCCCACGGAAGGCTCGTTCGCCATTTGCTTCACCATGTCCGCCGCCAGATCGTGAGCTGCCAATCGCAAAATCGAATCGAGCTTACAGCGAATTCGGGCATTTACCTTGCTGGAGCGCCTCCCCAAGCTTGGCGTCCATGACTCTCAAAAACCCTAATTTCTGGGGGCATCCCAAGAACCCTAATTTTTGGGCAAAATATTTTATGTGGTAGGGCTTCTTCACAGAAGGGCGAGGAACTCTAGCTTCGCGGTCGCAACCACGCTGGTAAGCTCCGCAGGGATCACCATGAGGCCGTCCAGATCTCTGCGCGCCACCATCAGCGCCAGGCTCTTCTCCCCGGGGAGCTCCCGATTCATGAGCGTCCAGGCCGCGAGCAAATCCGCGACGCCACAGCCAGCCCCGCCGCCGCCCCCGGCCACAGAGAGGACGAGCTTCGGCGGACTCAAGGACGAGGACAGGATCTTCACCAATCTCTACGGGATCCACGACCCTTTCCTCAAGGGCGCCATGGCCAGGGGCGATTGGCACCGCACAAAGGACCTGGTGCTCAAGGGCCCCGACTGGATCGTGAACGAGATGAAGAAGTCTGGATTGAGAGGCCGAGGAGGGGCGGGCTTTCCATCCGGGCTCAAGTGGTCCTTCATGCCAAAGGTCTCGGATGGACGCCCGTCCTACTTGGTGGTGAACGCCGACGAAAGCGAGCCGGGGACTTGCAAGGACAGGGAGATCATGCGGCACGATCCACACAAGCTCGTCGAGGGCTGCTTGATCGCCGGCGTTGGAATGCGAGCGAGAGCCGCGTATATCTACATCCGTGGAGAGTACGTGAACGAGAGGAAGAACTTGGAGCGCGCGGTGAAGGAGGCCTACGCCGCTGGCTACATTGGCAAGAACGCTTGTGGATCCGGCTATGACTTCGACATCCACGTCCACTTTGGAGCCGGAGCTTACATCTGCGGCGAGGAGACCGCGCTGCTCGAGAGCCTCGAGGGGAAGCAAGGGAAGCCGAGGCTCAAGCCGCCGTTTCCAGCCAACGTCGGGCTCTACGGCTGCCCGACCACCGTCACCAACGTCGAGACGGTGGCGGTGTCGCCGACCATCCTCCGCCGGGGGCCCGAGTGGTTCGCGAGCTTTGGCCGGAAGAACAACTCGGGGACGAAGCTCTTCTGCGTGTCGGGGCACGTAAACAAGCCATGCACGGTGGAGGAGGAGATGAGCATCCCGCTCAAGGAGCTGATCGAGCGGCACTGCGGGGGAGTGAGAGGCGGCTGGGACAACTTGCTGGCGATCATCCCCGGGGGATCCTCGGTGCCGCTGCTGCCGAAGAAGATCTGCGACGACGTGCTCATGGACTTTGACGCGCTCAAGGCGGTCCAGTCGGGGCTGGGGACCGCGGCGGTGATCGTCATGGACAAGTCGACGGACGTGGTGGACGCCATCGCCAGGCTCTCGTATTTCTACAAGCACGAGAGCTGCGGCCAGTGCACACCGTGTCGGGAGGGGACGGGGTGGCTGTGGACGCTCATGGAGAGGATGAAAGTCGGGAACGCGTACCTGGAGGAGATTGATATGCTCCAGGAGGTGACCAAGCAGATTGAGGGGCACACCATCTGTGCGCTCGGGGATGCAGCGGCGTGGCCGGTGCAAGGATTGATCCGGCACTTCCGGCCGGAGCTGGAGAGGAGGATTTTGGAGCGTGCCAAGCGCGAGAAGGAGGCGGTGGCTGCCACGGCTTGAGCGAGTGAGAGAGCTGGCTATGGTGGAAGAAGGAAGGACGATTCACACAAGTGACAATGACGAAGAAGAAGTAGCCAGTGGAATAACAAAACGAACTCACAATGTTTTGTATCTATATTGTTGTGTTATACATCACTTATCGAAAGGAATAAGTTATAGGAACCATAGCCTTGCGATCATGTTATATATGATCATAGCAACCATCCTTGCGATCACACTAAGGAAGAAGGATAAGTATTATCATAGACTTGCGATCACGCTATGGAAGAAGGATATAGATCGAGAAGAAAGCTATGGAAGCTTGTTCTTCCAAAATAGTTGTGGTCCTGTGACAATGTACAACAAAAACGTAGGACCATCGCGAAGAGTATCAAAGTAAGAACTGCGGTAGTAAAACTTTCAGCCTGTGCTTAGCAGTCTCTCGTATCGATCCTTTGGAAATAGTTCTCGCAAGAACTTCTTCCACTTGTCCAGGCTCTCCTCCTCGCTCACTGCGGCTGAGTCTTCTTCTTCCTCGTCTTCCTCGTCTGGCGATGGCGAGTGCGAGCTTGAGATCTCGGCCTGGTTCTCAGCGTCGCTCTCGTCGGTGTCTCCCACGGAGACGTGGTCGAAAGTGCCGTAGGACTGCGAGGGAGAGTCGTGAGCGTGGGGGATGTTGAGCGTTTTTGCTCGTTCCATGGCGGCCTTGTATTGTTCCATGTGTTCTTCCTGTATCGAGTGCTGCCGGACCATCTTGTTGGGCGTTGGAGATTGCATTGTCGCTGTTTCTTCCATCAGCTGTATCGAACAAACAAGAGCTTTACTTGGAAGAAAAGAATAGAGAGTTTCACGTACTTCCAAGGCCTTGGCGCCTTCTCTGTGGATCCACACGATGGAGTGATCTGATGTAGCGCTGCTGGACAGAACTATGCGCTCGAATCTCCCGTCCACGGGAACCGCGGTCTTCACAACTGGAGGATATGTTCCACACCTGGTATGATCCAGATGAGAAAGTACACCACGAGAGACGAAAAAGAGAGGAAAACTACCTGCAAACTTTGCGCTCCACTATGTGATAGATTCTTCCGGGAGTGTAGAGCCTTCGGGGATCTTTGAGCATCTTGGCCTCCGAGAGGAAGGTGTCTCGAACGCAAATGATGCAAAGCAAGCACGGCAAGCTTGTAAAAAAAACGAAGAAAGAACTTAGAAACGAGAACATGGAATTAAATTGCTCTCACCAGAAGAGGGACTTGAACATGTCCTCTAGAGGCGTCGCAGTCCTGGGAAGAAAATCATCCTGCATGGAACTTGTATATCTTCTTTCAAGAGACAAACTTAGAGAAGTTTCAATCCTTTACCTGGAGAATCACGGAGTTGATCACGTCGGCGTACCTCACAGCCAGATTCAACGACATGCATCTCGCAGGAGCGATCGCATAGCACCTGATCTTCTCCTTCGCAATGTTTCCCACCAAGTTCCTGTTCTTGACGATCAAAACCGTGAGAAGAGCCGCAACCCCGGATCCCAGCGAGTGCCCCGTGCAAGTGAGCGTGAACGAAGGATTCTCCACAACGAGCTGCTTGAGAAGCTTCACCTCCTTGTTGAGAACCCAGGCCGCCGACTTGAGCAATCCATGGTGGACGTAGCCACCCTCGAACATCTGCTTTCCCAGCTTGTTGTCCAGCAGCACCGCGTAGTCGCTCTCCTTGACGAGATTCAAGCCCCGGATCGCCATGACAATGTCGCAGTTCTCGCGATCCAAGTAGATGAGATAAGGTGGCGCTTTGCCGCGCGTGTCCTTGTAGCTCACTCTCTTTACCACGTCCTGGAGCTTGATTCCATAGCCACCCGGAGGAGCCCAGCGTGGATTCGCGAGGTCTTTCTCGTAAACCGCGAGAACGAGACGACACATGTGTGGAACTGGCTTGAAATCCTCAAACTCAGCCTCGGCCCAGCCTGGAAGTTATAACAAAAGATGAAAGATCACTCTCGAAAGAAGTACGAAATCTCACGCAAAGAAAGCAGAAAAATCAATCACTCAACGAAGAATGAAAGATCACTCTCGAAACTCGAACGAACATTATGAAATCTCACGCAAAGAAAGAAGAAAAATCAGTCACTCCATCGCAAAGAAAGAAGAATGAAAGATCACTCTCGAAAGAACAGTATGAAAGCTCACGCAAAGAAAGAAGGAAAATCAATCACGAATGAAAGATCACTCTCGAAAATAACAGTGCCAAAGAAAGAAAATCAATCACCCTGGATCGCAAAGAATTACCTCGACTATCGTCTTCTCCGGATCGAATGCAGCGCTTCCAAGCCCAGTGCGCACAGCCAGCCAAGTAGACGCACTCGATCACCGGGACTCCGATAATCCCTCCCATTCTCAGCCATGGATTAAATTACCATCGCCTCGTCTCCTTCCTGCCGGATTCGATTGGCCTCCTCCTCCTCCATCAATCCCCCGTGAGCTCTAGCGCCGCCGTGGCACAACCCAGATACGAGAGAGGCGAGATCTCGCCGCCACCGCCGCCGCCACGGCTGCTTCCACTGGATCCTGCCTAGCTCCTCCATACCTGATCGAGCGGGATGGACGCATTCACTCCATGGAGCTCCGATCGATCGAGACGCTGCTCCAGCATGATTCTCGTGAGCGCTCTGGAATATCTCTCTCCGGAAGAAAATTCGCGACCATCCTAATGTTTTAGAAGTTTTAATTAATGTCACGTGTCCACATCCAGTGCACAGTCAACCGACGGCAATGATTCCCAGAAACTATAATCACGAACGAGTAGAATCTATGAAGGAAAAAAACGCTTCATTGAAAACGAAGCTCTTCCCAGCCTTTGCCACAAAAAAGCCGGCCATTTCTTCTTCCCTGCTTGATCTTGCTACTAAAAATCGATCGCTCCACACTACTACTACACTCACTCACCTCGACAATACCAGGCTCGCCACTGGCGGCAGTGGACTTCCAAACATCGCGGAAGAACTCTTGAGCGAGGGGCTGCGAATGGAAGCGTTGGTAGCGGCGGCGCTGCTAGCGATCCTCGGCTTCTTGTTTACGTTGTTCCATCCTTCCTGCTCCATGTCTAGCTCGCAGTCACTCTCCTCCACGCTAGCTTCCTTCGAGTGCTTGCACTTGAGACCGCCGCTGCCACCGCCACCATCGCCACCGCAGGCTTCTTCCTCTTCTCCGCTGCCTCCTCCGGCCTTTCTCTTGCGGCTGGAATCGTCGGACGAGCACCTGGTCAAAAACTTGTCAGCATTATCTTCCTCTTCCCGTAGCTCCTCGGCTGCTTCCACTATGCTTATCATCCGGTCTATGTTTCCTTCCTCATATCTATTCTGATATCTACAACTCTGCGACACCGTCAGCGGGCCCCTGCTGCCGCACACGATTCCCAGGGCCGACACGGCCTCCGGATCGGCCTTCACGTTGCACCACTGGCTGTTTACCCAGTCCCTCGAGACACGAAGATCGGATGTCTTGAAAACCTCTGCGTCACCTTCGTCTAGAAACGAAAACGATACGAAGTCAGCCCGCAGCTAAACGAAATGGAAACAAAGAAAACTCTCACCAGGAAAGTAGACACGAACTTCATTTGCTGTTACCCGGCCGATCACGACTCCTTCCCACCATCCGTCATTCCACCAGACATCAACTGGGGTGCCAAACGAGCAAGCCACAGCTTCCGGGCCAGTCGCGGGACAAGGCCTGAGAGCAGGCCTGCTGTGAGCCCGGATGTTCAGCTTGTCCAACTGTGCTACTTTAGACGTCGACACCCATTCCTGAAACAAGCAACAAAACCAACAGCGTAAAACTACTGCTCAAAAACCAAACTGGATTACCTCGAGATTTTCCTTGCCATCGTCGTCTTGGAGATCATCGTAGCGAACTCTCACGCGCCTGGACGTCTTACCGACGATCACACCTATGAACCAGCACCCCCTCAAACCACTGTCCTGGCAGAGTATCTCAACCTTGTCGCCAACTTCGAAGCTCGCTCTCGTCGGATCCACGTCTGACAACCCATTCCCTTCTCCATCAGTCGTCGGAGTCGAACTATTACTGTGCCCTTTATCAACTCTTCTCCTACGGTACCTTGTCAACCGCGGCCCCCGGCCACCACGATTCTCTTCGTCTTCGTCGTCATCACTAGCCAAGTCCGGCGATCCCCGAGAGGACGAAACACCAAGCGCTGCGAGAGCCTTTTGTTCCCAGTAGCCTTCCACACCGCAGATGTTTAACGGTTTAATCCCGTCGTTGTCAAACTGCCTCGAACAAACGTGAATGAGCTCCCGGGAATCGGGAAGAAACAGCGGGCATTTCTCGAAGTGCTCGGGTGCCAGAACTGTAGCAAGGCCATCTACACATTCAACACTAATTACTTGCGGAAACTGAGTAAAAAACACCTCTCGCGGATGAGGTGGCGGGGCTGGGATTTTGCAAGCCAGCTCGCTGGTCTTATGAAACCATCGAACACGGAGCTTCTTCCTCAGCTTTTTATCCTCGTACATGTCCTCTATGTACGCAATATGGTGCTCGTTCTCCTCGGACATCACAAAAACAAAGCTTTTCACCTACGTACAAGCAAGCACCCTTGTCAAAAAGAAACGCAGAAAGTATATCAGAATAACACCCACTGCTATTGTAATTCCGTTCCTTCGAAAGGACTTGTAATGCTTCAAGCGCTTGCGACAAGTCCAGCTCGATCCCACCCAGAAAACGTTCGTCACGGACTTCTTCGAGTCCTGTAAAACAACTATATGAGCAAAGCCCAGCAATCAAAGCAGTGTAACTTACATGAAGACGCTTCCCACCATCTGGACTGTCTTCCGTGGCAGCAGTCTCAACTGGACAATGCAATCGTGTTAGAGAACAACCAACAAAGGAAGCAAAAGACGAAAGCGCTACCTGAGACGTGAGAATTCGAGCGACAAGGAGAGGACGTACGAGACTTCGATAGCAAAGAGGAGAGCCAGTCCACAACTTCGCGACGAGCACGCCACTTGAAAGCCGCGGTGGTGCTCTTGTCCAGCCCAGCAAGCGGGAGAAAATCGTCGCACACCACATACACCATATGCCGGACGCTGCGCTCGGTGCCCACCACCGCCAGGGTCGCCTGCCCCTGGCGATCCTTTAGATAGTAGTGCACGACCCTGCTCCCACGGTCATTGGAAACAAACGTCTCCTCCCACTCCACGAATCGCCCAGGACCGCTGCCGAGGGGCGATCCAGAGCCATGCATGGCGGAGTGGAAATCACAGCATCAATTGGAAGGTGTGGGAGCGGAGCGGTTGCTGGCTTGCTTGGACCCTAACGAACCCCTACAACGATCGCGGAGAACCCCCAGACCACCATTCCGGGCGCCACCACCAGAGCCAATCGCCGCCAAATCTCCTCGTCGAGCTCCTCGCTGCCCCCGCGGCGCCGCCGATTGCCGATAATCCGAGCGCCGCTACTCGTGACACCCCCGCTGCTGTCGCTGTACGCATCGTCCCCTTCCCCGATCGAGCACAAACCCTAGGCGCTGGCCGAGCCCTAAAAACACACACTGTGAGGCGCGTCCATAGCCAAAAGCATGAGATTGCGTTGACGGGTACGGAAGTGTAAGGTGGAGCGCGCCGTCCGCGTGGAAATTTTGGATTTGGGGTTCGAATCTCGCCAAAACTGGCGCGAATATTTAGGGTAAGAGACCTCTAGTTTAAATTCAAACTTTAAATTTTAAATGCTTGCTACTCTTTCTTCAAACTTTCCACAAACACCTGGAAGGCCCTGTGATCCAAGCTCTCTCTCACCTTGTTCTTGAGCGATCGAGCTCTCTCGCGAAGATCATCGCTCTCCATCACCTGGCGCACAGCGCGCTCGATTTCCCCGCTCTCGGCGATCCCCTCCCTGTTCTCGCGGATGTCCACGCCGATCCGGAGGCCGTCCACCACGAACCGGCAAATCGCTGGCTGATCCGCGACGAATGGCCAGCACAAGAGCGGTACCCCCGCTACTGATATGCTCTCGGTCACCGAATTCCAGCCGCAGTGTGTCAGGAATCCTCCCACAGCTGGATGCGAGAGGATGAGATGCTGCGGCGCCCATTCCGGAATGATCAGCCCACGCTCGCTGGTCCTCTCCTGGAATCCCTTCGGAAGAACACACGCCAGGAACTTCTCGGTATCGGCCCCGGGGTCGGGGACTGGGAGCACCCATAAAAAGGCCTTTTTGCTCGACTCGAGAGCCAAAGCTAGCTCGGACATCTGCTTCTCCACGATCCCGATCCAGCTCCCGAAGCTGATGTAGAGCACTGACGATTTTTCCTGCTTGTTGAGCCACGCCTCGCACTGAAGATCGCGGGAACTCTGGAGGAACGTCGACTTGCGGAACTTATCAGCGTTTGCTTTGATCTGAGACTGATCGAGCAGATGTTCTGGAATGAGAGGCCCAACCGGAAACAGCTTGATCTCCGGATACACGGCTCGCACTGCGTCGATCACCTTTCCTTCGAGCTCGTAGCAAGTGTTGAGAAGAATCCCTTTGCAGCCCAGTAGAAACCGCCTGTAGCTTTCTCCCCCGGCGAAGAAGGTGTCACTCTTATCCTTGTGCTCTTTGGAAACCTCGTTCCACTTTAGCGGTGGAAGTCCGGGGACTCTGATGACACCTTCCTTCTCGGCCTCCATAGCCAGTGTCTCCAAGCTTTTACCTTCCTTGTTCGCGTTGAGGTGCAAACCGATAGCCAAGTGTGATGCCGCGGCTGTGTAGAGGACATATCTGGGAATCCGGAGCTCGTCTATCACTGATGTCGTCCAAGGAAGGAGAAGATCGACTACTACTGCCGATGGTGAAACTGTAGAAGGATCTTCTAGCATTTCCCGAAGGAAATCCCGGAGAGGGCCCTCGAAAGTGCCAAAGTGAACGCTGTTGGTCTGAGACTTGCGAATGCCCGGCATGGTGATCGTCGCTGGTAGCTGGAGGCCCGGAGTGGGAAGAGTTGCCAACTTTATGTCCAGGCCTTCAATAGCCGATGAAGTGACCATAGCGAGAACCGACTTCGAAGGGAAGAGCAGTGTCACCGAGACCCCAAGCTTGGCGAGCTGCTTCGCCAGATTCATGAAGGGATTGATATGTCCCTTCCCTTGGAAAGTGAAGAGAACTACATGAGCTTTGCTGTCGCTGCTGCTCCTCTCGATCGGCATTTTCCTTTCTTAATCGAGACCGAAGGATCCAAGAACACTGAGCTCGTTCGCTACCTGAAAGAATGTTTATGGAAGTGTGATAAAAAGAGCCTTATCTCACGGGGTTCCTGAGAAATTTAAGGCACCGAAACTGTGACAGAGCACTCTCTGGATCATTATCATAAATGCCACCTGCTTATCAGCCGAAGCTTCGATTGGTTATAGCTAAAATAGAAACTTACCTTAGCTGAGGAGAGTCAGGCTGATTACGTGCTCAATATCTCCCAGGCTTAACTTGTAATCACCGTGGACAAGAACTTTCGTCCCCGCCTCGTTCGTCAGGCCGAGGTCCTTGCAGGTATCGACATCAAACTCCACTTTCGCACACCGTCCTGCTATTAAATGCTGCCTCTTGAAAGAAATTAGCTGCTTCCTGGGAGGCGATAGGCTGCTACTCGCAGCTGGCGGGATGGCGTACAGGAGCGAGATATGGTCGCTATCTCGTGTCCCTGTGTTGCTGATGTAGGCTACCACTTTAAAAGCCAGAGCCTCGCACCCAGTGTAGTCTATAGGAAAGTGTCGGGCTCCGTCTTCACGAAGAGGTGTTCGAATTGCCACAGTGTTACGAGCGGTGATGTTACTCGGCGCGGAAAAGTTTGTGTAGGTGAAGTTGGTGTAGCTCAAGCCGTGGCCAAATTCATAGACGTTTTCTCCGGTGTAGAAGCGATAAGTTCTGCCGGGAAATCCTGTTGAAGTGTTTGGACGCAAATGCATGTTGAGTATTGAAACATGTTCTGCGAAAGCCTGAGGATACCAAGTCATAGGAAGCCTTCCAGCTACAAAAAAAAATTATAATTCAAAAAAGAGTTCCATGGAAACTCGCTTAAGAATATAAGGAGCCGTACCTGGATTGTGATCTCCAAATATCACTCGTGCTATCGCTTTGCCTCCCGCCTCACCGGGATATCCCACCCATAAGACGCTTGATATCTTGCAATTCCCTTTTGCGAAGGTTACGTCTATAGGCCCGCCAGACATAACCACGAGAATAACAGGTCCCTTTGCAACCTTGGAAACTTCTAGCACCAAATCCTGTTGATATCCCGGGAGGAGCAAGCTCGTTCTATCAAGGCCTTCTCTTTCTTGGTCCTTGTCTAGTCCAACGACGATAACGACAGCATCAGAGTTTTCTGCGGCTCTCACAGCGGCCAAGAAGAGCGTAGTGTCGTTGCACATAATGTCTTTACAGCCAGGCTCAAAAACGACGCCCTTGGTGTATTCCTGAAGTCCTTGGAAAGGTGTGATGTACTGACACGGAACACCTGAAATGACAAAGCTTGTAGAAAAGCAATATGTAAAGTTTAAGTCGCGTACCAGCATAATTCCCCAGCATCGTCTCAGTTGCGTTTCCGCTTGGACCTATCACGGCTATAGTCATCAAATCATTTCTCGGAAATGGTAGCACGTTTCCTGAATTTTTTAGTAGCACGATTCCTTGCTCAGCAGCTTCGAGAGATAACTGCCGATGTTCTCGGGTGCAAACAGCGTCAGGTCCAATCGAGTTATACGTTTCACCACTATTTCCGTCAAAGAGACCAAGCCTCATGCGCACTGTCATAACATTCGACAGAGCTCGATCTACTGCCGCTTCTGTCACCTTTCCTTGTTCAATGGCAGCAGCAGTGTGTCTGAGAAGAAACGTTCCGCAATTCAAATCCATTCCTGGAACAATGTAGGACGAAGGTATGCCGACAAAGAGTTTAAGACTTTTATTCGTTACCCGCTGATAGCACATCGGCGACAGCATCTTCTGCTGTGGTTGTGTAGTTTATATATTCATAAAGAAGTGCAACTGCATCACAGTCTGAAACAATGTATCTGACGGAAGAAAAAAGACATGAAAAATACATTAGTCAGTTACATGATCACATACCCTTCAAATCCCCAGGAATTCCTGACTGTTTCTGTAAGAAATGTATAGTCCGCACAGCTTGGAACTCCGTTCACTCTGTTGTAAGAGCACATGAGTCCGCTAGCTTGGCCATCAACGATGCAGCTTCTGAAAGGTGGATCAAACGTATCTTGCAAATCCTGAACAGTTACCTGTTTTAAAACGCATTAACTCGGAACAAAGGTGGAAAGAATTAACTTCAAGCAGTTCATTTTACCTGTGCATTAAAGTGAAAACAATCTGTACCTTCAGATTTTTCCATGTCGTATGCCGTGAAATGCTTGCAGCATGATGAAACCTTCAGCCTCGTAGGCCTTCTTTGCATGGTACTTATCGCTGTGCCTTCATCGTAGTCACCCTCTTGCAAGCCCCGCACAAAGTAAGCAGCGTACTTGCTCGAGAGTAACGGATCTTCTCCAGGGGTCTCCTGGCCTCTTCCCCATCTTGGATCCCGGAAGATGTTTATATTTGGACTCCAAAACGTGAGACCTGACCTTCCGGCATTGTACATTGCGATGGCCTCGATCGATATAGCCTGCCAAGAAACTAAACGTCAAGCTTACATGCAAAACAAACCGAACAAACAAAACGCTCACAAGCAAACCTCGAGATAGAAACGAGTAACGGCATTCGAATCATCAACCATGTCACTAGAAAACAAAGAGCTGCATGAATACTTAATCGAGTAAGAATCTCCACGCGAGAAAGAAGAAACAAAACCAATGAATCAATCGCGAGCAAGACCGTAAAAATCTCCACGCGAGGAAGAAGAAACAAAATCAATGAATCAATCGCGAGCAAGAAACTAGACATCTCTAAGCGAGAAAGAAGAAACAAAACCAATGAATCAATCCCGAGCAAGAACGTAAACATCTCCACGCGAGGAAGAAGAAACAAAATCAATCAATCAATCGCGAGCAAGAAAGTAAAAATCTACACGCGAGAAAGAAGAAACAGAATCAATCAATCACTCAATCGCGAGCAAGAAAAACTCCATGGAAAACAACCAACATTCAAGCCAGAATCCTTTTATCGTACCTGGGCGATTTTGTTCCATAACGAGGAATTAAACGAGGCCACAGTGAGAATAACCTGAGGGAAGCTCGTCGCCGAAGGAACAGGGGCGGCGAATTTGACTCCTGGGCTCTCCGCAACGCCATGGAGAGCTTCTTCCCACCACTGGTAGCCTGGAATTCCCAGCCGAGGAATCCCCGACGCATTGCTCACAATTTGCGCAATCTTCTCGGAGAGATTCATGCGCCCGACCAGATCCGCCACTCGATCCGGCACGGGAAGCGATACATCACAGAAGGGAAACGAAGAGGACCTGGAGTCTGTGCAAGCCGCTCCAGCTCCACCCCTGGATTCGGCTGGCGCCCACGCGATCGAGAAGAAGAAGAGGAGCGCAAGCATCGCAAATGCAAATAAAAGATAAGAACCCTACATTGTGGAGTGAAAATGGCGGTACTAATTTGAACTGTTGGAAAAAGCGCTTAGGGTTTATTGAAGAGCGCGAGGGAGGGAGGTATGGACGCGGCGATGGATCTTATACGACGAATGCCGCCGGCGGAGGTGGAAATGGCGCTGGCGTCGCTGCTCGTCCTCCTGCCGGACCATTCCGCCGATCTTCTCTCCAAAGTCGATCAGCCACTCCAGGTTTGCTCCAAAGGCGAAATCTTTGCGACTCTATCTTCTGTGATCGTCGTCTAGGAAGCGTGGGATGATGAATCTGGGCGACAGTATCTCTTGTGCGACTATAATCGAGACGGGGATTCTTACAGGTGCTATACTTCTCGGGCTTTTTATGTTCTAGATGGTGTTTTACAGGTCTCCTTGGTCTAACAAATACGATCCTCCTCTCGAAGATGGAGCAATGCCCTCGGAGAAGCTCCGTGAGCTGGAAGTGGAAGCAAACGAAGTTTTTGCGATCTATCGTGACCAGTGAGTTGATCGTGTTTTCTTTCTGGAAAAGTGGTCTTCCAAATTCTTTCTCGTAGGTACTATGAAGGTGGCACTTCATCAGTGTATATGTGGGAAACCGAGGAAAATGGTGGCTTTGCGGCTTGTTTTCTTGTGAAGAAAGGTCGATAATCTTGTTTATTGTCACTTCCTTTTAATACTTGTTTGTCTCAGATGGCTCGCGAAAGGGAGAAGGACGTCGAGGACTCTTAGATCACGGGCTGTGGGATGCTATTCACATTATTGAGGTAGTTGTTCTCCATCTTTTCGTTGCCTTAACAGCTCTGTTTTTTTTTTTTTTTTTTACCTTTTTGGAGGTGTCTGAAGAGGAAGGAGAAGCCCACTACTGTCTTACAAGCACAGTGATGCTTTCTTTCACAACGAAAGACGATCCATCTATGTCTTTTGGTCTATCTGGCTCTATCGTTCGACAGGTTTGCAAAGACTCACTTGCCAGAGAGATGATGATTGAAATTGAAATTGAATGTGCACAGATGGAGGCTGATTTTCCCTCGACAGAAGGCCACCTTGGAAACATGGGTAGAATGATCGAGGATATGGAAAGCAAACTGAGAAACGGCTTGGACCAGGTATCACAGATATTTCTCACCGATGCATCCTCCCAACTAGCGATTTTTCCAGGTGTACTTCGGGAAAACGAAAGAAGTTGTTTTTACAATGCGAGAACCTTTGGAAATCCTGACAGCAACATCGGCCACTGGCCAGAGCTTGCAACAAGCTGTTGTAGGCGACATAGTTCGCAGACGCTCGGTTCATTGACGTACCTCGTTCTTATCCACGGTAACGTTTTCTTTCTTTTCATTTTTCATGACCATCGAACACTTTCTCTTCTCACGAACATCAAACAGGAGCTCAACTGGACTGGACTGTTTCAGGACAGTGATATATCACAGGCTATAGGTGACAATGCGGAATATTACAAGAGGAGGAGGTGTACGAGAGGGGGTGCGGTGTACGGAAGCGGGTGGGCGTTTGTGGCTATGGCGGACGCAGGCGGCGGCGGGGTGCTGCGGGACGGCAACGGTGCATTCTGCGGTGGGTCGCATGCGGCAACCGCGGGGGTGGCGGTAACAGCAACAGGAGCAGCGGCAACGCAGGTGGAGGCGTGGAAGGAGTGGGACGACCGAGCAACGTTGGTGTTGCTGGATCTCTACACGGAGAGGTACTTGGCACTCCAGAGGGGGACGCTGCGGGCCAAGGAGTGGCAGGAGGTGGTGGACGGCCTCAACGCTCAGTGTGCAGCTGGGAAGCCCGTCTACAACTACAACCGCTGCAAGAACAAGATAGACTCGCTCAAGAAAACTTTCAAGACGGTCCGTGAGAAGCGCCGGCTCGGCACCCCTGTCAAGTGGAAGTGGTACAACCGCATCGAGAGGATCACGGTGAAGACAGCCGCTGGCGGTGGCGGCGCTGATACGAAAGTGGTGACGGCGGCGGCTCCTCTCGCGGACAAAGTCCCAGCGCCGCCGGATCAGTTCGTGGATCACCACCCGGAGTTTGACGACGGGATTGGAGGCTCGGAGGATGCTCTGGTCGGTCTCAACGGGATCCAGGAGGAGCTGATGATGCGGTCGTCGTTCTGCTCGCCACCGACGCTGCCGCCGCCGCCGCCACCACCACCACCACGTTTTGGAATTCCGGGGCAGGATCAGCAACAACAGCAGTGGTCTCATCAAGATCATCACCACGGCAAAGAAGCAAGCAAGAAGAAACGCAAGCGTGTGGTGGCTCCAGGCTCGTCTTCCTCGCCAGTGGAGCCGCAGCATCATCATCAGCAGCACCAGATGAGAGAAGTGGCGCAGATGATGATCGACGCGCTGGAGAGGATGGAGCAGCGGCGGCAGATGCTGGAAGAGAAGCGACTCGAGGTTCTCAAGGAGCTGCAGCAGAAGCGCAACGAGACGCAGTGGGAGATCGCGAGGCTCATCGTGGATGCGCGATTCTTCCAGCAGCACGCGACAAATCCTGGCGATGATAACAACTAGACCAGAAGTTGGTGTGCGAAATAACATCGAGAACGATGAAACAAAAGATCATCTTTACGCAAAGATCAAACAAATGTACGATCTAGAGGAGACAATTTTCTCTCCCTGGTTTCTAATCTTCCTGCTCTTTCATATTGGATAGATATAAAAACCATAGCAAAGTGAAGCTAGCAAAGAACAAGAGGAGCGATTGAAGCGGGTCGAGCGCTTGCCTTTTTCTTCTTTTTCTTTTTCGAGGTTTCTTGGCCAAGTACCGTTGCCGCGGTAGCACCTTGTTCCTTCGTCTCCCTCTCGCGGTCTCGCTCTTCTTCTTCCTTTTTCTGCTCGTCCATGACTACTTCTTCTCCTCCCCACTTTTGCTCCAGATTATAGCGCGCGCGGGCCTCCTCGCTAAAGACATGCACGACTATGCTGCCTGGAGATCCAAGGCACACGAGTTGGACGAAGAAACGAATGAGCGATCACTGAAAATGTTACCGCAGTCGACGACCATCCAGTGCTCGCAAGCGCGGCCTTCGACAGATGGGAATTCCAAATGGTTGTCCTCTGTGGACTTCTTCTTCACCTGGAAAGTAGACCATGAAAAACATGAAGGGAAAAAGGATGGAGAGTGACTTACTCTTGCGACTATACTGTCCGCCATGCCCCTGATATGTCTCGTGGACTTTCCAGACACGAAAACCATGTAGTCTGTCCACTGGCACCGTGCTTGGACGTTCAAGATCTTGAGATCAATGCCACGAAGTTTTCTCAAAATCTTTGCAACCTCGCGGACCGTCAGCTTGTGCAAGTAGCTCGTCGGTGGAGCTTCGTCTTCCTGTGTAACAGTAGATGAAATAGAAAAAAGGAACTTAGCAAGGCAAAGAAACAGAACTCACTGGCTCAGAGTCTGATGATGTCTCGGCAATCAGCAAGAGTTGATCCGAAGCTTGGGTCGACTGTGATCGAAATTGTCTCTGAAGCTCATCTTCTACTTCTTCTTCGTCTTCTTCAAACTGATGATCTTCTTCCTCAAATTCCTCCTCGAGTTCTTCACTGTCTTGAAGATCGCTCACCTCACTGCTAACGCACTCTTCTTCCTCGAGTTCTTCACTGTCTTGAAGGTCACTCAGCTCACCTCTAGCGAAATTTTCTAGCTCGATTTTTTTACTGGCTAGAACATCACTCAAGTATCCCAAATCCTCCAGACTCTCACTCTCGCTCTCATCCTCGCTCTCATCTTCTTGCCCGCTTTCCAGGCTTTCCAGATCCCCCCTCTCGAAATGCCCCTGCATTGCGACTCTAGCCCCATATCCAAAGCCATCACTCTCTCGCGGCCTAGCAATGAGTTCGTTTTTCGCTCCCTCTACGCCATCGCTGCTAGCTTCTCTGGCAATCTTCCTGCGGACATACCATGGAATGTGATCCTGGAGGGCAGCGCCACAGCAGCGCCTCGCCAAGCGCACGCTCCTCCGTAGCATCATCCAGGGGTTTTCATTAGGGCAAAAAGATTTTTCGCATATACATATATATAATCTATATATCTATATATTATATATGTATCATTCTAGACTTATGGATAAGCAAGAGCTTGTACCTCAGGGGCAAACAGTCCAAGCAAGGAGTAATTCATGTGGTGGCAATGGGAGGGTAGTAACTTATCTCGTGTTATTCCACATGCTCTAAAAGCTGGTTGTTGCTGGCTGCCCTAAGCGCACCCAATCTGGCCTAATTATGGCCTTCTTCCAGATGGGAATGATGCAGCCCAGCTCTTGGTGTCATACACTGCAACAGATGCCCATTCTTCGTTGTCTAAGTAATGGCAACTCCTCCAAACACTACACCACAACTTCACTAACTCACTTTTTTCTTTTCCTCGGTGATGCTTGACACCTTTCTACACATCATGTTTCCATGGCTGACTACAAGATCCTCACAAATTTCCACAAATACAACAAAAAGATGTCAAACAAGCCTTTTTTTCACTCAGATTGGTGGGACAACTCTAAAACATTCAGCCTGCACCTAGACAAGCTCAAGAACACAATGTTTTCACAACTGATCTAAAATTCCTCTCCAACTCAACTATGAGATGATAACTGAGTTACTCACTCTTAATGTGGAAGAATTCCAATACAAACTTGGAGCCTTAGTGCAATTGTTGCAATTTAGTGATGGTAGTGCACTCTTGATCATTATCATTGACTATGTTGGTGAAATGCTGGATAAAAAAATCAAAATCCTAAAAAACATGATCACTATTTTTGAAAGTGTGGAGAACCAAATAAGAGGTCTAACTAAGAAGATATCTAATCAAGAATTCAAAGTGGAATATTAGATAAGTTTTTCTAATTGATGGCATGCAATCCAAGTTTTATAGCTTCCTTATTCAAATTGCCATTTATTGAAATTATGAGTGAAGTGTTATATTAGATTGTTAGAACACTTGATATGACTTCCATAGAATATCGAAATCTGACTAAAGTTAAAGAAGAGGAACTAAGGAAGCTGCTAATATTAGAGTGTTCAAATTGTTATGAGGTACAATAAAACTCAAATAAAATATTAAAACCAATGGAAAAGATTTTAGATAATTTGGTCAAACAAATAACTGTCCTTAATAAATATAAAAAGATGGTAAATATATAATATTATATTTCTATTCTTTACTCCTTGACTATATAGTTAGAAGTCTTCTCTATCACTTTGTTCTCTAACCCACAGCTCTGAAACTCTAATTCTACTTCATTATCTTTAGCATATATCTAAGGGCATTATTCCATGTGTCCCCTATATAGAAATTTCTTCACCCCAATTCCCCTTTCTAAAACTTTAAGGTTCTTAGTTAAATTTATTTTGTATTTTATAAGTAATGAATAACATTTTATACATGACACCATTTTATTGGTTTGTTCTACCAAAATTCTCAAGGAGGGGGGGACACTAAGTTCCCCCTTATAAATTTTCCCCCTTGAAAAACTTCACATGGGAGGACCCCACCCTAAGGGTTAGATTTTATTTATAATTCTTTATAGAATCTGTGCTACATATTTTTAGGTATAACTAAAAAAACAAACATTAAATTGTCTATAGATTATTAAAAAAAATGTCTTTTTTTAATTATTTTTACTCACTATTATTATTATTACTATTCCTTTTAGAATCTACCTTTTTACATCATATTTTTGCTCACTATACCATATACAGTGTCAAGATTTAGAGCAAAAAATATGATAAAGCATCATGAGAAAGCTTTATCTACCACAAGAAATAAGGAGCAACATTCAAGCACTAAAAAATACATTCTTCAAGAATCAAGAATGATGAAGGATAAGAAATCAAGCTCAAAGAAATTAGCAAATCAAATAACATAAATGCAAAATTTAAAGCCTTTTCTCAAGCATGTAAGAAAACTTCTTTTATATAATATTAAACATTTGATTCCCTAAACGTGGCCCCAATCTCCGCCACTAGATCCTCCCCTTTGTGTTCCTTTGAAACCAAATCCTTCAAGCTACCAAAGCTGGAAGGCAATGCAATAGAAGTATAGAACCTTGCCATATGGAGCATTTAGATTGTATCCTTAGTAAATAAGGAATAGTAATGGCGTTAATTATAATAAGTTTACTACACTTGTACACATTACATTAAAAATCATATATACTTGTATTATTATGCATAGGTAGGCGTGTCCAATATTTTGATGTGATTGGTTGTTGTCAAAAGCATTAGTTATATTGATAATAAGTTTAATAGCAATTGCTTGTCAATCTAGACTTGAAATTTGGATAGCTGTATTGCCATGGCATTTTTCTAATGCTCATATAGATCTAATTGTACAATCAATCAAAAATCTTCCTACAACTGCAAATATTCAAAATGAAACACAATATGAACTAGGTATTGCATGGGCATATCCTACAAGTGTTCCTTTGACATATATGAGATTTCAAACATTTCAGCAAAGTGATAGACGGTCTACAGATTGTAGTATAGAATCTAGAACAAGTAAAAAGCTATATGCCACAGGTAAATTTTTAATAGATAATTATAAAGAAATGGTTGATTTAATAGAGATTGCAATACGTGCTAAAGCTTATGGTCATATAGGAGTTACTAAGCCATATTTGTATGCTGATTATTTCACAGAGAGTCCTAAAACAAGAAATCCTAATCAACCACTGCCAAATTTACCACAAATATTAAATACGAATGAATTGTCACTAGAGTTATGTTGGCCATACTCTTTTATAATATCAGCAGGAACTTTAAGGAGTATAGGTTCTTATATTGAAGATGGAAACAGTATCATTTCATCCAATTTTAAATTCAGACTTACATTATACCAATGTAATCTTATGCTTAATCATATCCAAACAGGTACTGTATATTGGTCAAGTGATACTCAAGGAAAGGATAGCAATTGTTATTTGCAAGTTTTAATTAATGGCAAAGTTGGAATATGGGGCACAAATGGTGGAGTTTGGCTGATTGAATTAAGTTGTAAAGAGTTAGAATGTCTTATGCTTTGTCTTGTATTACATATAAATAACTTAGGGGAACCTTTTCTACAAGATACAAATACAGATAGTATTTATAAAATTTTGAGTTTATTTTAATTTTTGGGTCTAGTTTGCATCTTGGTTTATGCATTTTCATAGTCACAGAATGCTGCTGAGTCGCGAGTAGGAGGAGGAAGAAGAGTAAAGACTACTGCCCTGCCTGCTGGTATTATTCAATGACAAGCTAAATAGAAGAACTAAGCCAGAGAATTAAGGGAGTTAAATTACTAAAAAATTCTCATAATGTCTTATTCTTAAATATTCAAGCACTGTGTCCCTCCTGGTATTGCTCAATCACACTCTTGTTGTCCTGAAGTGTGTAGCGGCTTCGCATAGATTTGGTTTGCTGACAACGATGTTTCCTTTAGATGGTGCCAATTAACATGTTCCACAATAATCCCTTGTTATCTTGCAAAAGCCACACACAAGCAAGGGACTGAGATCTTAGAGAATGATGGGCTAGCTTGCTAGAAGGAGAGATCTATGCTTGCCTGTGAAAACGCCATTGGTTTCTCTTTTGTGCTATACACTGCCCTAAAAATGCTCATTAATACTTTAGAATATTCATGATGCCGTTTGTTTCAATGATACAAAATACTATTTGACATGGGAAGCCCACTGGACCGTTAGAAGTAGGATGGGGACAGACTATCACAATTGTGATGATGTACTGAATCCACTGCATTGGTGCATGAATGATGCCATTGGGAGCTTAAAAAGGAACTTAAATTCACTATATATGGCTAGACACAGGAGCCCTTGAGCAGACCGCTTGATAGGTTCAGTTTCTTGCCCAAGCTCTGGAGTAAAGGGTAGTGAGACTGATCTACAAAGTCCATGATCAGCCGGGAAATGTTCCCCAATCAGATAATGATTGTGCTGCCATACTTGGGAGATTTGTGTGAACCCCCCCTGGGCGAGCGTGTCCGGGTTAGGAGCTTGTGCAAGCTCCTTTGTCTCGACTATGGCAGATCAATCACAACTCCTCGTTGTCATCCCTCATCTGACTCGACAGTCATATCAGCATTATAGCCATATAAAAGTCACAACTCATCCAGGCACTTGGAAGAAAAATGACATGCTCTGGTCATTCGTATGGGAAAGAAAGCTGTGCTGCTTGACGCCTTGGAAGCGCTCGAGTTACACACCAAGTCTCCAAGAAGGCATGCTTTGGCAACTCTTGTAAAGCAGTGTGGAGAGGTGAAGTCTCCAGTCCTCGGCAAACGTTTGCACTCGTTGATATCCAGGTTCGAGCAGCAAGAAAACACCATTGTTGTCTCGAATTTGCTGGTTTACATGTACTCACAGTGCGGTTGTTTGAGTGATTCAAAGATGGTGTTTGATACCATTCCAGAACCCAATGTGTTTTCGTGGACAATGCTTTTTTCTGCATATGCCTACAATGGGCATTTAGAAGAAGCAAGGCTTGTGTTTAACAGCATGTCTTACAAAGATTTGGCTGCATGGAACACCATGATAGCTTCATTTGCACAAGCAGAGAACAGCAATCAAGCCCTTCGAGTATTTTGTGCCATGAATTTAGAAGGCCTCCGACCAAACGAGAGAACATTCGTGAGTGTTTCTAGTGCTTGCATTGGTTTGTCCTACCATTCTAGACTCGTTGGAAGCATTGCAATTGAGAGTGGAGTAGCAGATGCCTGTGTCAATGTTGCAAATTCCATCATTTCTATGTACGCAAGATGTGGATGTTTGCAAGAATCAAACATCATCTTCCGCTCAATACAAGAACAGGGAAGAGATGACACTGTGTCCTGGAATGCGATCATTGGAGCTCATACCCAGCTTGGGCATTTTGACAAGGCACTTGACTTCTATGCGAGAATGTGTGCAGAGGGTATGAAAGCTGACGGAATCACAATGGTGACGTGCTTGGAGGCGTGTGGAGGCTCTCTGGCTCGTGGAAGGATGGTGCACAGCCATGCAGACGCAGCTGGGTTTCATCTAGATGCCATGGTCTGCACGGCCGTCATAGCAATGTATGGGCGCTGTGGCCTTCAATGCTTGGACGAAGCCAAGATGGTGTTTCAAAGACTACTGGAAAAGGGTAGTGGAAGAGGAGATGTGGTGCTATGGACAGCCATGGTTGGAGTTTACATCAAAGAGGAGCAACACGGCGAGGCATTCGTTTTGTTCAGAAATATGGACTTGGAAGGCGTGGTTCCAAACGAAATGACACTGAGCAGTGTCTTGGATGCTTGCGCTGCTCTCCAAGACTTAAACACGGGAAGAATGCTTCACAGAGAGGTAACGAGCAATGGATACCTGGGTAGCAAATCGGTGGTGCTGGGAACTTCTTTGCTTGACATGTATGCCAAGTGTGGTGACCTCAATGCTGCAAAAGAAGTCTTCGAAAGCATGAGGATCAAAACCACCGTCACCTGGAATGCCATGGCCGCTGCCTATGCCGCGCTGCACGGGCTGGAAGAGCTTCAAGCTAGCGATGGATTGGGCTTGTGTCGAGAAATGGAGCTCCAAGGCGTTCGTCCAGACGGGGCCACCTTTGTGAACATTCTCACACTTTGTAGCCAATGCGGCATTCTAGAAACGGGCCTGAGCTATTTCTCCCGGCTTCAGAGTGACTACGGCTTGGAGCCAAGCGCTCTTCACAATGCCTGTGCTGTGGATTTGCTTGGCCGGCTTGGATTCTTGGACGAGGCCGAAGCTATTGTAAGCATCGATGCTTTGCATAGCGATGGTGACCGAGCTTTGGGGTGGCTTCCACTGCTTTCTGCGTGTAGAACTCACGATGATGCTGCTCGAGGGTTCCACGCAACAGAGCAGCTTTTGGCAACGAGCCCACACCATGCTTCTGCCTATGTTTTGCTCTCCACTATTTCAAGTTATGTTGTTTAATTTCCCCTTGAGACGATCAGATGGGAAAATTTTTAAAACCAAGGAGAGATCTTGGTGGGAACTCCAGATTTTACAGCGGCTTGAAAGAAAGTTTCTAAAAAAGCCCGTCACAACTTTTACATCTTTTCGAATTCTCCTTTCAAACGGCAGCACGACGAGAAGGGAAAGTATTCCTTTTGAAATGTGTTTTTGGAGGGACAAGAGCCCTAGCCCTCATTTCCAATCCATGCTCTTCCCCTTTTTCGATCAGCGCCATGGAGAGGAGCGCGTCATCCATGGATGAGAGCATTACTTCGGCTCCAGAGCTGGAATGCTGGAGCTCAGAGGTAAATATCGCGTCATTTGAGATAGATTGTTGCTAGGAATTCATCACTTGGGTCATTCTAGCTAGTGGGTTACATCAAAACTCGTGAAACATCACTTTCTTTTGTTTCACAGAACCTCGAGGAGTTACGGCATCTGCTAGCGTGCACGTCTATGGAGCTGGAATCCGCGAGACAGGCCGCCAAGAGCCAGGAGCAAATCTACACTTGCAAGCTCACTCATCTCGAGGAGCTCCTGCGAGCAGCTCAAAGGGAACGAGACGAAGCCCGGGAAAAAGCTTTCGATCCATCCGCAGCCACCATAACTTCTTCCTGGGAAGAGCTCCCCGATCCAGCGGGCGACTACTCCTTCCTCCTCAACGACGTAGCCCTCGACGACACTACTGTGGTCCTTGATCTTAGCGCTCCATCGCTGGATCATCCTTTTCACGCCGACGCTGCTGCTGCTGGATTCTTTCTCGGCAATCCACCACTATCTAAGACTTCCCCACGCAATGCAGCAGCGATGGATGATCTCGAGGCCGCAGTGGTGACGAGCGCTCTTCCCGAGAGAGGCCATCTCCTCGACGCGGTGATGCAAGCGGGTCCTTTGCTCCACAACCTTATGCTGGCCGCCGCTCCTCCTCGGCTCTCTCACGTCCCCCACCTCCCTCTCCCGCGATGGCACCATCCTCCTCCAGTGAGTTTCATGCCTTCTTCGTCTTCTTCTATCCAGATACCACAACCCAACAGTAGTCTCAGGTGTGCTGGCGGCTTTGGATCCTCGTCAACTTGCTGCCTCCAAGTCTAGACTTGTGTTCTCCGGATAGATCAGTATATTTTTTCTTAAGAAGTCACAGCTTTCCTAGAGAAAATGAGGCAAATTTAGAACAAATTGAAGAATAAGATATGAAATATTATGAATCGTTATGCCCTAGCCCTAGCAGGAGATGGCCAAGTCAGGTACTGCAGGGTCCGCAAGGTCGACTAGTGTTAGGAAGAATTCCAATAAGTCTGCGAAAACTCTATCAGCTGCTGCTGCGGACTTGAAGATTTCCGCCGGGAAGCTGAAGACGATGTCGGTCGTCGCTCAGCTGGTGGGAGAAGGGCAGCTGAACGAGCTACCGCTGGAGGAAGTAGCTAGGCTAAAGGAAAAAGAGGGCAAGGAGGAGAATCCCTCCGACTTGGTCCGTCACAGTGCAGCAAGAGAAGTGCAGTTCGATGAAGAACGCGGTCCCAGGTTTATCTGCTACAGGGGCCCTCCAGAATCACGTCCCCTTGTGCCTCTTGCTCTGGTTGAGAGCAGCTTCTTCAGCTTCCGCATGAATGCACGCGCGACGACTGAGGTGGAAGAGGTGGACATTGATACGGCTCACCAATTGTGGAACCTGTGCTCTGTAGGCTGGGATGATGAAGTTACTCAGATGACACCCGCCGTGAACAAACTCTTCCAGAGCTACCTCTGCCGCTTTGTGTCACGGACTGACATAGATGGCAAGCCAGGGGATGGGGTGGTGGAGGGTCAGATGGTTGTATTTGAGCACAAGTTGCAGCCTGCGGATGGCTACTTCCAGGGGCTGGAGTACCTGAGAAGGCGGTTCTTGTCCACTCGGGACGCAGGATTTCGGCAGTCGTATGGTTTGCTCGTCTTGCTAGCATGCCCCTACATTCAAGCCGTGGCAGTTGTCATGGATTGGGATACAGAGAAGGTGTTTGCGGAGCCGCTGACAAGTTTTGTCAACTGCTATGGTGCACAAGAGTTTGAAGATCTCAACGTGCTGGCGGCCACCCTGAGAGCTGTTCGTCTCTTTTGTGACCAGTATGATCCCAAAGCTCGTGTCCACCCCGCAGTGCCGTTCATGTTCAGAGACAAGCCCTTACAGCAGCTGGAAGAGAGGCTGGTGTTTGTGCTGGAACCTACGAGACTCGCCAAGCTCACTCGGCTCTACTCCTCAGAAGCTCACAAGCTTTGGGCAAAGGCGAATGTGGCACCAACTCTTCACAGTGCTGTGGAGATTGGAGGTGGCTGGATACAGGTTGAAATGGTGTACCTGCGGAAGGAGGATGGATGGCAGGATGCAAAGCAGGTGGTTTCGGATTGTGCACGAGATCCCGAGTCTCTGAACAGGCTAACCGAGTGCATCAAGGCTGCGGCTATCAAGGGCCATGAAACAGGGTACGTCCATGGTGATTTGAGGCTTCCCAATATCAAGCTCCGCTCTAGAGCTGATGGCTCTTTTGACGTCATGTTCATTGATTTCGACTGGGCTGGGAAGATTGGTGAAGCTACGTATCCGGCTGTACTGAATCCTGAGCACGCTTGGCACCAGGACGCCAAGTATAAGAAGCCGATCGAACCAGCGCACGATCTGCATTTCGTCAACAACTTGGTGAAGCAGGTTTGAGGTGGGGGGAGAGAGTGAGTTTTTTAGGCAGCAGCTTAGGAGGTCGGGTCTCGTTAGCGAATTCAGAAGCGCTAAGTTTGAATGTTGTTTTCTTAGCAGAACAGTGGTAGATTGATTTCCAGAATTTCGATGAGGATTGCTGCCTGTCAATCCCACGAACCTCAGCTTCAGTGTTGTTGTCAAAAACGCAAGTCAGTAGCTTGTTAGGTCAGAAAGTGATAGAAAGGCAGTCTCTTGATCAAGAACAGTACCTCCTTGGGTAACACAACCACATTCTGAATGAACTCATGATCTACAACTTGCCACTCTTGTTTCTCCTCCACATCCACATGCAATGTGCGGCTGTTGGCCAATTGATTTGCCCCAAGAATTGGAAGAAAAGCATCTCCAAAACATGTATTTCAATCAATTTTTTGAGATAAAAAATCGCACTCACCTGGTGGTGTGCTAGAGACAAGGAACCTGGTGATGACGAGCGCAAAAATCACCTTATAATGGTCAATTACCAAAGGATCGTGCACAAAGGCCACCCCCATAGAGCCAAAAGTAAATTTTAAAAAAGTTTCAAGTGGCAATAACAAATATCTTAATTCCAAAGATCAAGATGTGCTTGCTATAAAGAGGCCTTGAGGGGAGCAACTAAAGTTGGATCTAGTGGAAATTTGCTCTACTAAGAAAAAAATAAACAAAGTGGCACAACCTTGTTAAAAGGTTGGGATCTAAGATATGAAGATTGGTAAAGGCTAAAAAGAGTATTCCATCAAAAGTGATTTAAATGAAATTTATGCAAACATTATTATTGTTTAACTTTGCTCCAAATGACCAGGATTGCAAAAGTACAAGAGTGAGAAAGAAAAAAGATGGATAGTATATAAAGTGCAAACTCTCACTACTAAAGCTAATATGGATGTTTTAATGATAGAAGCTATTCTTGAAAGGATTTGAGTATAAAGGATTTTAGTGGATGGTGATGTAGCCATATGTATCATGAGCAACTAACTGATGGAGAAACTTGGGTTGAAATATACTCAGCCTTCGAGGTAGAAAATTAGAGTGGCAAGTGATCATTAATTGTAGCACATGTGATCATGGGATGAGATTTGGATATACTGTCACCGTGGATCCTTAGAACCTTGGGAGATAAATAGGGATAAAATAGCCACTAAGGGCTCTCTTATCAAGCAATTGCCCCTTTTCCAGTTGGCTTAAGGGGAGAGAGATAAGGTGCACTACATTAATGAAGCTGATTAGAATGATTAATAATCTTTTCATAACAGTTTATGGGATATCCACCGTGCACGTCATTCATCTAAAGAAAAGGAGTGATGGTTATCCTAAATTTTGAATTTTTTAAAATTTTATAAATTTATTTATTTTATTGGACATCCTTGACTACATAAGGTATATACTAAGAATGATTATATGTGATGAGAAGAAGCAAGTTAATGTAGTTGTGCAATAGAATCCTACAAATGTGCTAAAAGAATCTCCCATGAGCAATAACAATAGCTATGATTCATATAGTGATTATGAACTAGATTTAGAAAGTGATCTTGAGGTGAATAATCTATATACATTACAAGTTATGCTAAAGATTGTTAAAGGAATAAAACCTCAAGCTAGCATTAAAGAAGGAGATAATTTTTTGCAAGAAAATGTGGACAAACATAACTTTCATATGTAAGTAATTAAATTTTCCATTTTACTTTAGTCACTTAACCACACTCTTGACCACTTATAAAAGTTTCACTTACAACTTTTATAAATTCTCATTTGTTTTAGGGAACTTGCTATCCAACATTAAGACCACACTAGCTTCACACTTAGTCCAAATGCTCTATATGTCTGATCCTAGTTTAGACACTTAAAGATACTATTAATATCTTAACTTGTTATGCTAAGGCTTTGCCCTTGTTTAATTGATAGTCTAAAACCATCTATACCATAGTCCTGTTTCTCCAAAATTAAGACATCTTTCCATGAGTGGTCATCCCATGACCACACCTTAACATCCTTATAATACCCCAAGATATAAGGAACATCATTCCTTAATATCTACACATACAATATTAAATCACTTCTATTAGCTATTGGCCCTTAATTATAGTAGCAATCCCTGCCACTAGATCCAAAAATCCTCTCTTCCCAATCATCCTCAAAACAAAATACTTGGTCTTTCGAAAAGGCTCTAGAAAGTTAAAAACTTTTTCAACCCCTAAAGTGAGATTTACCTCCACCAATCCTTGACCACTATTGTCTTTGTTATGTGTCAAAACAAGTAAATTCATATATTTCTAAAGCCTTTGCAATTATCCATCCACCATCAAAATAACTTTAGAGCCTCCTAGGACTAGAACACTTTACCAATGCCAACCCTAGAAACCCTAGCTACAAAGGGCCCAACAACTCTAATTCTAGAGTGTAAGTTAGAGTTGTTTGGATCTCCCAATCCCAGATTTGAATGAATTGCCATTGCTAGGAGTGCTTCTTGCCACTCCCTAGATGCTAGTTGTGAAGTCAGATTGAGAAAAATAGTGAAAACCAAACCATAGGAGCAAAAAAAGGAGAAAAAGACCTCTATTAATCCCTAAGCTTAATTTCCCCCTAAAACCAAAAGCCCCAATAAAGACAACTTCCTCAAGCAAATGCTAGATCAAGAGCCTATTGATGATGATCAAGGATATAACAATGCTCTTTCACCACACTCATATTAGTAGGAAGCAGGGTCAATGCCTCAACTGAGGCAACAATATGACTTTTATAAGCATTTTGGGCATGAGGAGGATCAATGCTAGTTAAAGAAAGACTACCTAATATGTTTTGGATAGTCTCAGAGGTCAACTCTAGCTCCACAATAGCAAGTTTTCCAGCAAAGGCCATTGCCAAATAATGTTTACTTGGTAGGTAGTGCATCTTCATAGGGTGGTAATGCATCATCTTCACAGTAACACCAAGTTTTGTGGGATATGAAGGGGAAAGGTGTCAATCTAGTGGAATTCTCCACTTCTGAGAAGTTTTTGGATGAACACATTAGCTACAATAATGAGGGCAATAACTTTGTTGAGGAACAACAGCCATGGCTTGGAGAGCTCTCCCATGAGAGTTGGAGAAGGCTTTCGAATGTTGGAGAAGTCTAGCTAAACTAGGCTAGGATCATATGGTTAGGGTTGGCTTTATTCAGTTGAGACTACCATGATTGTCAGCCATTAAGAAGTTGGTATAGGAACAATTTTTAACAAGTTTTGAGATGTTGTGGAGTTTGTAAAAGTGGATCATGGATCTCAATTTCTCTTGGATAGTCAAGTGGATGTAATAACTTCCTTAGATGCTTCATATGCTTTGACATGTCAGAAAGTTTGTAAGAAGGAAATGCTTGATCAATCAATCCCAATGCAAATTAAGGTGGTGTACAAAGACAAGATGTTGAGAAACATATTCTTTAGAGACGAGAGTAGAGCTAGAGCAGTAGTATCTCAACAACTTTAGGTGTGGAAGATACACACATTCCATGGATGGAGATGTCTCATGCTTTATAACAACACTAACCATACTTACTAGTTGAGGACTTGAAATTGATGTGGCCAAGCATGAGTTTTCTATAGCTTCTCTAGTTAACTCCATAGATGTTGGATTAGCTCCTAGGCCTTGCCAACAAACCACCTCTCTTCCAACAACACATTTAACAAGAGTTCGAATGTGCACAAATAGCAATAAAGTCGATGGAAGTTCATCAACTCGGGGATGATATCACCTCCTACATGATGCTTCACTTGGATAAGAGTGTTCATCAGGAATGAGGATTGGCATGCTCCTTGATTGGCTTTAGATATGTTTCATTACTCATCTAGACTAACCAAAGTTTTAGCTAGGGTTTCATTATTATCTACAAGTTATAATCACAACTAAATTTTAAATGAACAAAGAGCAAACCCTAAGCCAACCTCCCAACCCTTCACTTCTTGTTCATTTCAAATTTAGTTGTGGCAACCTTAAATCCCATAGGCCACAGAATGAGGTTGGCTTGGCACATAAGGGCATCTAGGACCTTATGGAATGACTTTTATCTTGTTCTACCTCTCTTAGCAAGCAAAAATTTTTAGTATTAATGTTTACTCCAACATTGCTATGGAGACCATACTCAGAACATGTAAAACATTGCATTGCAAATACCTTTGACTCCCAAAATCAGTTTAAGAAAAAGAGAAGATAAAAAATGGGAATGTGCTACATGAGTGGATAAATAGAAAGTTAGAAAAACCACTCAATCAATAGCTGAAGAGCCCCTAAAACCAATTAGCTATCTAAGATCTAGGTTTTAAACTCTTTTATTAATTTTCTTTTTTTATTTAACTCTTGTCATTTCTTCTTTTAAATCCCATTTCCCTCATCATCCATCCTTTTTTCTTTATTACCATGTAAAACTTATGCCATTCCTTTCCAACTTGTAGACCATAGATTCTTGGTGTGGGTAATCCTCTCTAGAGCATGGGTATGATTCTAGGGATATTCTTAGATATATTTAGAGTGTGAGATTGGATGATAGAATGTATTTTTCAATGGTATTTTTCAAGTGTTTTTTATGGGATTTTGAGTGTACAGTGAGGTTATACCCCTATAACACTATAATCATATTTGTGTCTTGTAATGATATTCTAGTAGCCAACTACAAGTTTGAAGCAAAAGAGTGTCGAAAGACAAAAATAAAAGAGTGCTTTATGAATTGATTAATATAAAAAGGCTCACTTGAACTTGCTTGCAAGAATCAATCTTGGGTTATTGGTTTTGATCAAAGATCTACACTACTACTAGCTGTCCACACAGGCATACCCTTGTTGAGTATACTCCTCCTCCAATATTTGCCTGGGATAGATGACATATAACTGGTTCTTACTTGCCATGGTCATCTGGGTGGCTAATCATATTTCCTTACTTGCCTGTAAAAGGGAATTTTCTATAGCTGGATATTAGTGTTAGTGATTTGGAGCTAGAACTTGAACGCCTTCTCAGGATTTAGGCATTTGATTGGAAGTGATAGAGAGCGATATGGTTAGAGTTGATATTACTAATCCGTTGTCATTGAGGCTGCTTATGGATGTGTAGTGGCTGTTATTGAAGCTAGAGATTGGCAGCATTGGGCCACTCCATTAACCATCTAGCTTGAGAGATTGACCAAGTTTAAGAATTGCAAAAAAAAGTTTATTAGCTTTATGAAGGTAGTTAATATTAATAAGTAACATTTATTTCTTAGAGGTACAATTGCATGTTATGTATGGATCAATTCAATAAAATGTAGAACATGAGCAACCTGTTATTATGGGAACTTTCATAGAGCTTGCTTGCTGGTATAATTTCTAAGTTTGCATCTTTAGAACTTGCAACTAGAGTAAAAATCATCAGAAAAACACATATTATGCTTTTAGAAAAGTCCATTTCTTCCTAGAATGAAGTGAAAAAAACAAGCTGAAATATATAGTAGAGATGATGAGATTTTCAGATTGCTAAATACTGGCCATAAAGGTTTTGTAAAGTATAATTTTATGAATTTTGTAGCTTCATAATTTTAACACTTGGAGGGTTAAGGGTGTATGAGGCAAAGGTACACAAGAGTGATATCCTATAGAAGGAAATGGAAATACATGCTCAAGCTATGGAGAATACTTTTAAATTTGAATGCCAAGTGCAAAAGTATGGTGAATGCTCACTTGGTTTTTAATACCATGCCTTGGCATCACTAGAAAGCTCTCAGAGCAAATAAGACAGCAATATAGCTCTCATCATTCCACAGACCAATAGTGCAGCAATGAAATCCATGAGAATTTGAAAGGCAGGCACCAAACTCGTGCATGAACTCAAGCACCTCTAGAGAAAGCTCATTCTCAAAGTCTTTTACATGACCAAATATGAAACTCGTCCAGAAAACCAAATCATGGCAAGACATCCTGTCAAAATACATCAAGAACCCATCATGCCCACTCAGCATATAGAAATCGATGAGGGTGGAGAGCCTGTAAGTGTACAAAGATCATGAAATTGAGTTGCAGATGTGCCTGGCAAGTATTCTTTTAGATTTATATGCTCTTGATTTAGCCAAGTCAAAGCGCTGTTACAAAAGTTCTAACGTTTGCTTCCCAGCTTATGTGAGTGAAGCTTGACCCTAGAAATCTTGCAAAACTGAATCCTCAAGCAGAAAATGCTGGTTTTGATCTGGGTTTGCATCTCAAGAACTCAGAGAAAAAAAACACATATCATGCTTTTCTAAAACACCATTTCTTAAAACGTGAAGTGCTTAGCAAACAAGCTGTAATATACAGCAGTTTCTTTGCCATAGTTTATGAGGAAACATAGATGCATAGGTATTATTGTTTGTTGTGGAAAAGAAGCTTTGGAATCTTACAGTCTCAGCAAGATCTTAATGAACTTGTTTTTACCTTTTGTATATTAGGGTTTACAGATTAGGGTTCTTGGATTCTCCTAGAACTAGAAAATGTATGTATCAGGCTCGCAGGATTTTCAGGTTCGCATCACAACATTCATTGATCGAGCAGCCAGGGCACGCTGCGCTGGCTCATTTGATCCTCATCGCGCTCAGGGCATGTGCTCCGTCCGGGGATTTGGAGAGCTGCCGGAGGATCCACCGCGATGCCGTGAAGACCGGCCTCTACTCGAATCTCTTCGTCGCCAACAGCGCCGTCAATGCCTTCGCGAAATGTCGGGCCATGGCCGAGAGCTACACGGTGTTTGATCGAATGCCGCGGCACAGCACTGTGTCGTGGAATTCCTTGATCATGGGGTATGTAGAGAATGGGGATTTCGAGCGGGCTTTTGGATCGTTCCAGCGGATGCTGCGTGAGGGGTGCGAGGCAAACGCTAGAACCTATCTCGCTGCTCTCATGGCTTGCACAGCGAAGATTTCCAAGAACGAGGAACACAGGAGCTATATCCTGGAGAAGGGAATGGAAATCCATGCTCGAGCTAAGATCACGGGCTCCCTCTCAGACACTTTCGTGGGGAATGCTTTGGTGAATTTGTATGCCAAGTGTGGAAGCATGGTGGATGCTCGCTTGGTTTTCGATACAATGCCTTGGCATGATATGGTTTCCTGGAACTCTCTCATCGTGGGATATGGAGCAAACGGGGACAACAATCTAGCTCTCGAGATCTTCACTCACGTAAGAACTTCTAGAGGCTGCTGCGAAGCAAACGCTAGAACTTTTGTGGCAGCGCTAATGGCTTGTTTTGGCTTGGCAGAGAGCGAAGAGCACAGAGAAATCGATGGCGTTCTTGTGAAGCTGGAGAGTCTGGAGAAGTGTATGGAGATCCATGCCGATGCTACGAGGAGTGGATTCGAGTCGCAGACGTGCCTGGCAAGTATTCTCGTTGATTTGTATGCCGAGAGTGGGAGCGTGATGGATTCTCGATGTGTTTTTGACAGGATGCCTTGCCACGACGTGGTTTCCTGGACGAGTTTGATACTCGGTCACGTAAAGAACTCCGAGAGCGAGCTTGCGCTAGAGCTGTTCGAGTTCCTGCGAGATTCCAGCGCCTGCCTTCCAAACTCCCGGACTTTCATTGCCGCGCTATCGGCCTGTGCGACTATGGCTGCGAAACAAGGCAAGGAGCTCGACCCTGGATCAGATCTTGCGAAACTGAGCTGCCTTGACAGGGGGATGGCGATCCACTCTCAAGCAGCATGTTGCGCTGGCTTTGATCTTTCTTCCGACTTGTTCCTGGCCAGCGCGGTGGTGGAGATGTACGCAAAGTGTGGAAGCATGCTGGACGCTCAGCGAGCCTTCGATCGGATGGTAAATCACGACGTGGTTGCTTGGACTTCTCTCATACTCGGCTACGCAGAAAACGGCCATGGAAAGCTCGCTCTCGATCTCTTCCAGCAAATGCAGCGTCGCGGTTGCGCTCCAAATCCTCAAACCTTCGTCGCCACCTTGGTGGCGTGCAGCAACACGGCGGCTCTCGACTCCGGCAAGAACATCCACGCGCAGATCTGCCGGTACAAGCTCGAGCACCACCAGTTCGTCGCAAACAGCCTCGTCGACTTCTACGCGAAGTGTGGAGCCATGGCGGAGGCGGAGATGATCTTCGCGTCGCTGGAGCCGGAGAGCCGGAACTCGGTGACTTGGGGGGCGATCCTCGCGGGATACGCTCGCCAGGGGGACACGGATCGCGCGCTGGAGCTGTTTGGAACGATGCGCGACGAAGGTATCCATCCAAACCGAGTGATCTTCCTCTCCATCCTCACGGCTTGCAGCCACGCAGGGATGGTGGAGCAATGCCGCGGGCTCTTCCGGGCGATGCGAGAGCGCTACGGCATCGCCCCGGAGATCGAGCACTACCACTGCGTGGTGGACGCGCTGGGGAGGGCCAATCTCCTGGACGAGGCGGTGGCCATGGCTAGGAGCATGCCGTTCGTCGCCAACCCAGTGACTTGGAAGACGCTGCTGAGCGCGAGCGCGAAGTGGAGGAATGTGGAGGTTGGGAAGCTCGTATTCGAGAAGCTGGGCAGCGATCGCGGCGACATCCCATGCGTTCTCATGGCCAACATTTACGCTGCTGCCCAAGAACCCTAAAAAACGGTGGCTAAGAAACGGTGGTTAGGGCAAAACAGGGAAAAAGGACAGGTGGGGGATATTCGCGTGCGTGGGGAATATTCTGGGGCACGTGGCGGTCGCCACTTTGGTCCGTAGATCCAGTCGAGCTAAAACCCACGCAGCACAGCAGCAGCAGCAGCGAAGCTTTCCTGTTTGAGAAAGTCTAGCTCGAGCAATGGCTGCGTCGCATCTGGGATGCAGTGGCCCGGCTCAGGGGGCGGAATTGGTGGATCGATTGGAGCACAGGAAAAGTTTGGGCAGCAGCAGTAGAGTCCATTGTTCTCATTCTTCTTTTTCTTCTTCTTTCCGGGCTGGAGGTCATTCCAGAAGGCTGAGGCTTTCGTCTCCCGGGCTTGTGAGACACAGGAGGAGGAAGCTCGTGTCGGCGTCGAAGAACTCTTCGTCGAATTCGTCGCCTTCGATGGATTCGGCTTCGTCAAATCCTTCTTCGGATGTGAAGCTGGTTAACGGAGCTAATGGAGCGGTGCTGGAGGACGTGCCTCACGTCACCGACTGGCTGCCGGACCTTCCGGTGAGTTTTTCTATCGGATCCTCGGGAACCTGGATCGACGGACGTTGTTTTCTTCTTCCTTGGCAGACGTATGCGAATCCTCTAAAGCACAATCCAGCGTATGTGGCTGTCAAGCAATACTTTGTGGACGAGGACGCCATGGTCGCCAAAGATGTGAGCTTTCTTTGGTTTCTCTTGGTCGATCATTGACCCGACTTGCGTTTATCCAGATTGTTGTCACGCTCAAAACACCAGGAGAAGGCATTCACTTCCGGCGTGCTGGTCCTCGTGAACAGGTAGGTAGTAGTCTTGAAACTCTTTGTGATCTACAAACGTTCGCTCTTGGCAGATCTATTTCAAAGCCGACGAGGTCCGAGCTTGCATTGTTACTTGCGGAGGCCTGTGTCCCGGACTCAATACAGTCATCCGTGAGATCGTCTGTGGACTTTGGACTCAGTATGGTGTTCGAGACATCCTGGGAATTGAGGTACGAGTTTGCTGATGAAGCAGCGGCAGTAACTTACATGTTGCAACTTCAGGCAGGCTACAAGGGATTTTATTCCCGAAACACGAGGCCGCTGAACCCCAAGGTTGTGAATGATATACACAAACGCGGTGGCACCATACTTGGAACGTCACGAGGTGGAAGTGATATCAACAAGATTGTGAGCAGCATCGTGGATCGAGGCATCAATCAGGTATAGCCAGGTGGAAAGTTATGTCGGAATGATGTGCTTACTACCTATTTGGTGCTTTTTTTTCGCAAGGTTTACATTATCGGTGGAGATGGCACACAGAAAGGAGTGAATGCTATCTACGAAGTGAGTTTAGTTTTTGTCAGGCTGTTGGTCTGATCAAACATTTTTGCTGTTCCAGGAAATTCGTAAGAGAGGAGTTAAAGTTGCCGTGGCTGGCATTCCAAAAACCATAGACAACGATATCGCGGTAAGAACTCGACGAAGTTTCTGTCGGTGGTACTTAGCGAGGACAGTGTTTCAGGTTATAGACAAGTCGTTTGGGTTTGACTCGGCGGTGGAGGAAGCGCAGCGCGCAATTGATGCCGCGCACACTGAAGCTGAGAGTGCTGAGAATGGTGTTGGCCTGGTCAAGCTCATGGGTCGCTATACTGGTAGGGAACATTGCAATTTTCGACTGTAAGTATTGACTATGATTCTTTGGATACGTGACAGGATACATTGCGATGTACGCAACTCTGGCGAGCCGTGACGTGGTATGGTTATTGCCTGTCAATGCTTCCTCCGAGTTTTTATTCCTCGCTTGTGTTATATACAGGACTGCTGCTTGATACCTGAAGTGCCATTCTACCTGGAGGGCAAAGGAGGACTTTACAGTTTCGTAGAGAAGCGGCTCAGGGAGAATGGCCACCTGGTTCTCGTCGTCGCTGAAGGCGCAGGGCAAGAGCTAATGGCCCAGAGTTTCAAAGAGACGGGCGGACTAGACGCGTCTGGGAACAAACTTTTGATGGATGTTGGTCAGTGGCTTTGCTCAAAGCTGAAGGTAAGTTCTGGGAAAAGGGCTTTCCTTTCGTGCTCAACTCAACTTGTAAAAACAGGACCACTTCACCGAGAAGAAGGAGATCATCAACCTCAAGTACATTGGTCAGTGCCTACGAGTTTTTCTTGCCTTCTCTTTTCTCTCAACTTTTGATTTTCAGATCCAACGTATATGATCCGAGCAATCCGGAGCAACGCCTCGGACAATGTCTACTGCACTCTACTCGCTCACAGTGCGATCCACGGAGCAATGGCTGGCTACACTGGCTTCACCGTTGGTCCTGTCAACAACAGGCATGCTTACATCCCAATTCACGTAAGCTTTCCTCGAGATTCCTCGTCTTCCTCTGTTTAGCAATCGGTTTTTTCTTCTTTTCCCTTGGATCAGAGGGTGACTGAGAAGCAGAGACACGTAAACATCACAGATCGGATGTGGGCTCGCCTTCTGTCGTCCACAAACCAGCCAGATTTCCTCAAATACGATAAAGTCATGGACGCCAAGAGAAAGAAAGAAGCGGCGTCGACTCCGGCAGAGTCCCCGCCAGCGTCGATCGGCACTGTTGGTGGCGAGCACACGGCAACACCCGAGAATGGAATCCCCAGGAGGGTCGGTTTGAGCGGCGTTACCGAGAACTTGGGCTAGAACTATACTTTGGTGTAAATATTCGTGTTTTTGGATGTAAGTTTTAAGCAAATATGGATGTTACTTTGAAATGACGGCAACCATGGCAAAGACGTGTTTCAACAAGCTCCATCGCCTGGATTAATGCGCACACCATTCTATGAAGGGAAACCTTATATCATTCTCTCGCTTGAACAAAATGCGATCGGGATAGCACGGGATCAAGTTGCACAACAAACGCCACCCCTGGTAATCCGGGTGCGTGGACCCCGTCGCTGGATCCACCATCATATCGTAGTCATGATGCACCTCAACCATTCGAACCTGATGAACGTCGAGCAACATCTTGAGAATCTGATCGGATATAAAACTGCTGCTCACCCAGACATGCACAGTGAGCGCCTCAAATCTGCAGTCCCTGTGATCAGAGAGCTCTTTGAGGCCCTGCTGAAGCAAAGCAAATTTATAGAAAGCAAAACGAGAGAAATCAAGCTTACTCGTAGAGAAAAGGCATCAAAACGCAGATCTCTCAAGCTGGAGAGCTGAGCCAAAGGTGGCCGATATCCAGGGCAGGGACTACAAACATCTCCAAACGGAGTTTCACGATCACGAGCGTGTGCTTCAAAATGCTGCATATTTGCTCAGGATCATCCCACACTCCTTGTAAAGTATGCACGGACCATAGAGAACAAACCTGATCAAGGTATCCTCCGGGTGCATGATGCGAACGTCTGTTCCCGGCTGGAATATTTCAACATGCAAGGCCTCTAAGTTTGGAGCGTTGATAACAACTTCGAAAACCTTGTCCCAGTTCCCCTTGGGCTCACCCAGGAACACCAAGTTCTTTTGATTGGAGCTGGACAGCATCACAAGCCTCTGTGAGACACGTACCGCAGAGACATTGGTTTATGTTAACACTAAAACCCTTATGGAATGAAAAGGTAGAGCGCTCAAGGATATTGGTCTGTGCGATCTGGAGCAATGGCTGGCTTCCTGTTAATAACAGGCTTACATCCCATCTTTAGAGGGTGTGAGAAGCAGAGACACGTAAACATCACAGATTGGATGTGGGCTCGCCTTCTATCATCCACAAAACAGCCAGATTTATGGTAAAGTCATGGATGCCCAGCAGGAGTGGCAGTGGCATTACCAAGAACATGGGCTAGAACTATAGTTTCATGTAAATATTCATGTAATTGATGTTCCAAAAAAATTCTATATGGAGGGATAAACAGAGCAGTCTCAACTTTGAAGTGCAAACTCCCATCGTTTTGGAGCATAAGGGATTGGATGTAATAGAGATTGATGCACACACTATTGGTAGGAGCAGGCTCATCCATGATCATGTCTTTGGGCAGCTTGAGCTGGAATGCTCACATGCACCATTGCCAATGTTAGGAATCCCCCAATTCTTGCCACATTCCTAACTCTCGTTAGATTCTTGACCCGCAGACTACATTCTTGACTCTCTGATTTCCCGTATGATTCCTGATTCTTAAACCACATTCCTGATGATGACGTGGTGCCTCCTCAACCTTAGCTATATTTAGGCCGTCCTTGATCCAAGAGTGGTGGAGCTTCATCAACCTATAGTATATATAGGTTAACCTTGTTCCATTTCTCCACAATCTGAATTAACGCTAGTTTAAGGCTTCTTTTTCGTCTCCACTAGCTTTTCTCTTTGTCTTCTGCATTTTCTAGTTCTAATCTTGTTGGGGGTCTTGACAATTTGATTCAGATTGTGCTTTTTGCTTTTGCTTTAGCTTGTTTTGATTGTTGCTGCGCCACCATTTTCCCGTCCCAGACTTAGGAATCCCAGCGTGAGTCTTCGGGGCATACTTCTGAACCTACTGCTCCGGTCCCAATGGATATTTCTAGTACTCCCCGACTCATCAAAGGGAAGCTAAGTCCTGTTGAGAAGCAACATCGAGTATCTCAGAATCTTTGCCTCTACTATGCTGATCCTAATCACAAAGCAGCTGTGTGTCCCAAGAAGCCTCCCCGACTGCTCGAGTTCACTCTGCCTCAAGGTCCACCTCTGTCGCAGTTGGGAAACGACCTTGTCCAAGCTGTTTATTTGGACTCCCCGAATAAAAATCACTTTTCTTCTTTATTAAGCTCCTCACCACATTTCATCAAGCCATTACCAATTCCTGTAACATTCGCATCCCATGTCTCCTTTCTTTCACCGGACAATCAAGACTCAAGGCTCTGGCACTATTGGTGTAGTGCACCTGAATTTGGAGCTAAACTCCAAGCCCGTTGCACTACAAAACGAGGGTTCGGTACAATCCCATGAGCATCAGCTCCCCGTATCCAGCACCTGCACACAAAATGGTGTCAGACGGAG